AAAAAAACAGTAAATTTCAAATAACCGAGTTCAAACTTAGTCACAGAATATACTTTGAAAGATTATTACGGGGAAATTTTTTTTTAATACATTAAGTATTAAAACTACATTTTAAAATGTTGCAAATAGTTGAACTGACTTTTTACTGATCAGATAAAATCTTACAAGGCTGTGTTGTGTTTTCAATTGATTTCAAACTTGCAACAAAACCTGTTACTGTTGGTGACATAGCATATGATGAAGAAAATTAAAAAAAAAAAAAATGAAGTCCCTCGATAAATCTCATTGCACGAAGAAATAATTCCAGACAAATGGAATTTTCTTTCATCATACTCAATTTCCAGAGTAATCCCTGTAAAGGTAGAAAGTTCTTTATTTATTTGATAATTTTCTGTATAATAAATCAAAGAACTCTATCATTTTTTACCTTGACTAGACATGGCTGTTGTCATGTACATCCTGATAAATTCAAGATGACCTTGATAACATAAAGCTGATGCAAGATTTCAAAGTTCAATGGTCCTATACAACTGAGGCTATTAAATGCCTTCTATGTGTTATCACACAAAATTAATTCATAATCTTTCTACTTCCGTAATAAATCTCACCTGCAAAATAGTTTTATAAGGTTTGTTCTCTGACCCATCTCCTGTTTCATCTACTCCCGTCTTTTCGGATGTATATATTGCATCTAAAACAATAATGTTTAGTCATCTTAGAGACCATTCCCACAGATATTTAGATAGATCTATCCCCCTGGGGAGTCACTACATTGGTGTCAGCTTTAAAACCAGCTTGAATGTCTGTCCTGCCTACTAAAAGCTGTAAGGGGGTAATTAACTTTTGTGCGCCCTCGGCTCCCGGAAGCTGACAGCAATTTAGCGTGAACCCCTAGGGAGTTAGGTCAATCCAGATGGATTGATCTAAATCTCTGGGAACCCAGTCTTAAATTTCAAAGTCTAAGGAATTTCTCTTTTCATCCATAGATTGAATAAGCAAATACTTGCTATACATCTTACATGAACAAAATGACTTTTCATCTGGGCTCAGTTTAACCATTAATGACTTAATCACAAGCACACCCCCCCCCCCCCTACACACACACACACACACACACACATAATACTGTGCAGCCATAAATTTTGCATAGCCATAAGCTGTTAAATTAAATGTTATTGTTAACTTGTTATCAACTTGGCATTTGGCACTAGAAGGGAATAACAAACCCACCCGCCAACTATGTATACATTTACAGACGGGCATGTATTCCAAATGGCAGTGCACTTGAGTTTCTAAATTCCTGGTCCTTGGGCTTGACTTGTGATCGTAATCATTCAAAAATGAAACAGGGCGTCAAGATGTTTTTCCACGTGTCGGCATAACGTAACTCTATGCATCATTACTTACCCATACTCATGTTTTTTATTCCGTCTCTAACATCAGCCATAAAGCTTATCTGGACGTCTGCTAACCTTTCAGTATAAATTGTGCGTTACGCTTCTTTTATACTTGTAGATTATCTTCTTATCAGAGCCGGCTTTGCAGGCCCTTGCATCAGCAGTCAATAGTTCCGTCTGCTTGTTGGCAGATGTCGTCATTCGTTTGGAGTTATCTAAATGTGTTATGGCGTTTTAATAACAAATACCTTTGATTCATATCGAATATTTAGTAGCAGGTTAAATAATCATATAAGATTGCAAACATAAATCATAGCGATACACAATTTTCTATTTCTTTAGTACCCACTTATGGTGATAGAAAAATCAAGAAGTGATGAATTTTTATTAATTTTTCATGAGAACCCCGGACGTGTAAGTTTGTTTGTTTTTTAAATGCTGTGCATCAATACAACTGTTGATACAAATAAACATAGTCAAACCATGGTAATGGATGCCATGTATCAAAATAGTTATACTAATAAGAACTATTTCTTTTGTATCCTTGCACACCTGAAATTAGGCCAGTATGGCGCTGACCATGTTTGAGGGGGACTTCGCTGTCTGAAAGTTTGCATGATAAACCCCGACAAAGCCCGCTTGATAATCATATTATGGCCCAGAATAAGAAAGAACCATCTAGGCTTTTGACTCAGACGGTCATAGATGCCAGAGATGAGCTTGATGAGGTAAAAAGCAGCATTTATTTTAGTTGTAAAATCTGGGTCACCTTTGTTTACAGGCATGATCAGTTGATAAAGCAGAAGACGATTCAGAGAATTACATTAATATGACCAATTTTGTATGGTTATCATTTCAAGTAAAATAGTTTGTGTACAAAACATTGCGTTGCAAATTTTAAAAAGATTTTAATGAATTTGATGTTAAGTTATTGCAAGTTGTACTTGATCTGTTGCCGCATTGCTGCTATCCGTTTTTACCATCTGTCCATCCTCTCTACTAATATCTATTTTTTTTCATTTGCTAAACACGAATCATTTGTTTTGCTTTACAGTTGCCCTTTGAAGAATGAACATGTCAGATCTCATCATTTCTTATTACTTGAAATAATTTCAATATTTTGTAGTTCTATGGAAATTGATTTTCTTTTATCACATGACTGCCTTTAATATAATGCCAAAAATTTAACAGTATTTGTCACATATCATCTTTTCTATTAAAGCAAGAGACTTGATATTTGGTTACCAATAGCCAAATATTAAAGTATATAAAATATGAATAAACCATTTGCATCTTTCAAAAAGATATTGATGTTTTAAAGGCACCACATTTGCCTTTTTTTAAAGATATCTCTCTCAAAAAAGTCAAAAGTTGCCCTACTTGATTTTTAACACCCAAATATTGTCATATAATTTAACAAACACTTGGAATTTGTTGTACAATAAATATAAGAGCTGTCCATGAACACATAGTCATTTTGCTCTAAATTATACACTTCAGAACTTGACAATGCACAAGTGGGGATGACCAAAAAAAAAAAAGGAGGGGGGATATTCTCTTAATCCCCCCCCCCCCCATAAAAACCCCGTAATCTTTGTTCTTATACTCTTTTACTCTTTGATGACTTGTAGAAATCTGATACTCATGAGATACTTTTTCTTATGAAAATGAAAGCCATTAGAATATAACTTAAAGTGGTCTGAAATTGCTACAGATAGAAAATATATTTTAAAAAATTTGTTTATATGTAAACTGTATCTGAGTTGAAGTTATTTCATTTTTTTTTTCGCTTTTGGATGTATACCATATGTGAGTGTATATGTTTATTTTATTCTATTTACAGAGATTAGAAAAGTGTTACAGTATAGTAACTTCAATCATCACAGGACTTTCTGAAAGACAGATTAATGATGCACTCAATGCTTATGTAAGTACAGTCACAAAGTAAAAGTAGGTACAGAAAGAAAATGTGAAATAATAAGTTACATTAAGGCAATTCTATTTTTAAAAATTGAGTTTTCCTGGGATGAAGGAATTTTTTCTCATCTTTCTGATATGTGATAAAGCTCTTAATTACTATATTTTTGTTAGTACTTTCCTTTAAAAAAAATAAATAAAATAAATAAAAATAAATAAATAAATAAATAAAACAGTAAATTTCAAATAACTGAGTTCAAACTTAGTCACTGAATATACTTTGAAAGATTATTACGAGGAAAATTTTTTTAATACATTAAGTATTAAAACTACATTTTAAAATGTTGCAAATAGTTGAACAGACTTTTTACTGATCAGATAAAATCTTACAAGGCTGTGTTGTGTTTTCGATTTATTTCAAACTTGCAACAAAACCTGTTACTGTTGGTGACATAGCATATGATGAAGAAAATAAAAAAAAAAGATGAAGTCCCTCGATAAATCTCATTGCACAGAGAAATAATTCCAGACGAATGGAATTTTCTTTCATCATACTCAATTTCCAGAGTAATCCCTGTAAAGGTAGAAAGTTCTTTATTTATTTCTAGGTTTCTGTATAATAAATCAAAGAACTCTATCATTTTTTGCCTTGACTAGACATGGCTGTTGTCATGTACATCCTGATAAATTCAAGACGACCTTGATAACATAAAGCTGATGCAAGACTTCAAAGTTCAATGGTCCTATACAACTATACAGAAAGAAAATGTGAAATAATAAGTTGCATTAAGGCAATTCTATTTTTAAAAATTGAGTTGAAAGTTATTAAAATACATGTTTTTGTATATAAACAAAATATGAGCTCAAAATTTATATGATGTAGCTAATTCATATTGAAGACAAATATCATTATAAACTTGCAGTATCCAATAATCAAAATTTATATACCAGCACATGATGGCTGTGTATTGATATTTCAGGTATGTAAAGGTAGCCAGCAACATGAAGAAGTACAGCTTGGGCTACTCTATATGATATTGGTTGATCAAAAACAAGCAGCAAGAGTGAATATGAATTTTTTTATATAAAAAAATTAAGGTTGCACTATCTTGGATTAAACATGGATTAGGGAATATGCATTAAACATATATATATATATATATATATATATATATATATATATATATATATATATATATATATATATATATATATATATATATATATATATATATGTAATTACTTAGTAATTTGGTAAGAGCTTGCTTAATATGAACTTTTGAGAATTTTGTATAAGACAATTACCTATTAGCACATCAGCCCTCTAATTGACCAAGAAAACTTTTTATTGCAGGCATATCGTGATATGATGTTAATTAGCAGAGATGGACTAACTTTTGTATTAACAAGGACTAATCAGCTGATTTTTGAAAAATGGCTGAAGCTACAGGATACTCCAAGAACACAGGTGTGTAGAGATGGATTTATGGATGCATGCAACATGTAAAACTTCATTAGTTAAAAACATGTATATAGGGCCCTAGTAAATTTGAATTTAAAGGGTTGTCCTTAAAGATGTTGAAATAAAACTGGTGTACAGTCAAAGATTTTCCTACTAAAAACTCTGGATTAATTTTCCTAGTTCAGTTCAAAAGTGTGTCAAGGTATTTGATAAGAAGTACCAAAAGAAGTGGTTTATGTACTTGACATATATTTAAAACCTTGTGTTATGTCACTTTAGTTTTGTAAATATTTGTCTGTCCCCATTGAAGAAGGAGAAAGATGATCAGAAGGCATTCTGACCAAGTCAATTTACAGACAAATTTTGTTTCTGTATGTATTAGCATGTGTTAAGTTCATTTATCAATTTAACTTTGGATACATCTCCTGATTTTAAGTTCACCCTTTTCTGTGTGTTTGTGTATTTCAGATTGTGTGGTTTTGCAAAGAACTAGTCAAAAACTCTGTAAATGGAACTGAGAGTGTGTGCAACTCATTATTGAGGCAGATTGCTGGTAAGTGGAACTAATCAAATTATTTTTAAGGCTTCAGATCTGCATATTTGCATTAGTTTAATTATATTAAATGCATTTCACATTTTGAAGGTCGTGTTTCCTTATATTGTTGCAATGGTTTGTAATCACATTGACATTATACTTGACCATTTGATATTTGAATTGTTGTGTACTGATATTATCATTTGATGAACTGATTTTATAAATTTATTCAGGTGGTGATATTTCTCCTAAAAATGTCTGGTTGGCTGAGAGTATGTTGGATATGTTTATGGAACATAGGTAGGTACGGAAATTAACATTTTCCATGATAGGAGACAATATCAGGATATTTCTGAAATGGAATTCTCACATATTGAAAATGAAATTTAGGCACAATAGATAATCTAACCAAATAAATTATCATTCATCAGGTACAATTCCTAGATGTGGTACAGTTTTAAATTTTGATGCTATAGTCTAATATATACTATTTGCATTTTTTTTTCACTACATCTTTTTTTCTCTCTTTCCTGCATGTAAAGCAATATGATGGATGCTTGATTTTGTTCCAGGCCTTGGTTAGACAAAATAGCTGGTCTTCTAGCAACAGTAGTGTACACATATTTAAGGGTTATAGTAGACCATAATGGTGCTGCCTATGAGAGTTTGAGAAAGAGGGAGGTGGAATTTACAGTCTCTTTATTAAGAGAAAAGGTAAGATGTGTTGAAGTAGGTTCATGGGTTTGGTAATATTAAGAAGATAGGGAATGTTCTTTAGTCACGAACAGACTGCAGAAGATGTCAGATTTATTTAAAAGTGTATCTGTGAGTATTATAATATATTAAGTTGTGACAGAAGAATGCATCCACATTTCAGGTTTCCTTCACTCATTTGTGAAGTGTAGTGAATGTCATTAACATGTTTTTACCCAGTTAAGTCTGTACTCTGTTTGTCTTCAGTGGATGGAATGTGCTCCTATTGGCCGAGACTTGGTGAGGTTATTACAGAATGTAGCAAGAATACCAGAGTTTTACAAACTTTGGCAAGAGATTCTCAACAATCCAACTGCCTTGAGTTCACAGTTTACAGGTAAGCATTTTCTTCTATTAGCTTTATCATGATCTGAAAAACAACCTTTTTGTTGCTCAATAGCCTATATTTTTCTGAAAATTGTACCAAATATGTAAAATTGGTAAACCTTGTATTTAATATAATTTTTCTTGTTTTTTTTTAACAGAAGGTGAAAGTAGTGTCATGTTTATTTAAATGATTTCAGATTTATCAGTCAAAATTTGCATGTATAAGACAGAAATTTCATTTGCACATGCACACTTAGTAATTCACTTTCTATTACACAGGTATATCTCAGCTGCTAAAAACAAGAACTTCTAGAAAATTTCTTATATCAAGACTTACCCCTGATATGGAAACAAAGTTGGCTTTTCTGCTTACAAAAGTAAGTGAAGTGTTTAAAGGATGAATTTTTAAGGTATATGATTGCTGGGTAATTTTTCCCACTAGTTCCTCCACCTGAGAAACAAGCCTACAAAAAAAAAAAAAAATGGGCAGCCGTCTAGTATACCTGCCAAAAAATTTGATAATTTTTTCTTGTTGATTTTATCTTNTGGTTCACCATCAAGAAATGTACATATTCATGTAAATGCTTTTCTTTTTATGACTATTTTGATGTAAGAAGTCATATATATATGTAATGAGACTTCAAGTTTCTGCTACTGAATTTTGACATTTTATTTATAAATAAAGGTACTTGCAATAGAATTGCCTGTTGAAAGTCTGAATCTTATATATATATATATTCACTGAAATGTATTCTTTGATTGGGATTTACTTATCAGTGTAAGAATAATAGTTTTGTTGCTGTTTTATTTTAGTCCAATGTGGCAGCTTCTAATGCAAAATTGTCCCTCTTTTATGACTGGTTGTTTTTTGACCCTGAGAAAGACAGCATAATGAACATAGGTAAGACTTGAATACTCTTCTGAAAATTTAGAAACAGCAATTGTGATGTACTGAAAAATAACACCCAAGCCAAAGTTTTGAGTAATTTTCTCTAAAACATAAATTAAATTTTATCATATAGTTTATGGCAGGAGATGGTTTTTTGTTTCAGAGCCGTGTATTCTTGTGATGTACCACTCCATCAGGCCACACCCTGCAATTACAGCAACATTGCTGGACTTCATGTGCAGGGTAAGTTGATATTAGGTTCTCTGGTGTAACATTTAAATGGTACATTTTTCTTCGTTATTTAAAATGTTGGCTAAATGTTTTGTATATATTGTAGTAATATATGCTTTGCTTTAAAATGTGTATTTGTTGATAGTCATGCTTTTTTTCCAGATCATCCCCAACTTCCACCCTTCACTAGTAGATCAAGTGAGACAAGGCATTTACAAATCATTGAGGAGCATTTTAGAAAAGCGTGTACTTGCGTATGTATAAGGTGTTCATCATGAAATTGAACAGCAGAATAGTTGTGCCTTTGTAAATCTTTAATACGGTATGAAGAATTGAGTTTTGTGGTCAGTTCTTTGTTAAAGTTATTTGCCAGTTTAATAAGATGCATCTTGATGTTAATGCCTAGAGACAATTGATTGCCAGAGTATATGACAATACAGCATGGCATTTATCACATTGATCATATTATTTTAGGTCAATATCTCCATTATTTGATAATCCAAAGCTAGACAAGGAATTGCGGGCCATGATAAGAGAGCAGTTCACAGAATTTTGTTCTGTGGAAGGTAAACATTTAAATTTTAGTGTGCAAATATAGAGCAAAAATCTTTCTAGCAAGAGTTTCTATTTTTTCCAAGTGATTTTACAAGTTGTCATACCAGTGAACTCCTTAAGGGCATTGTAAGCCTCTATTATCATCCAAACACTGAAAATGAAATGTGATTTTTCCTGCATCTAATTATTCAATAATGCGTCTATCTTTGTGCTGATTTAAACAATAAAAATCCCCTCAAATATATAAAATATCAGTGTTTAAATGTTATGGAGTTATGAGCCCCTAATTAGAGATTTTCATTAAACATTGGCATTATTTTGCTCTATCAAAGATAAAATCTGAACTAAATATCTTAAGAAAAATTGCAGGCAAGGGTTTGGAGTACTAAAAGGTGTCATTAAATTGGTGTTAAAATAGTGTTCATGGGTGCTCAGAAATTTGAGAAGCTGATTTTTTCAATTTTTACCCCAAAATCGCAATTATGACATCACCCATAAGATAGCATGTGTAAATTAATACTCTCAACACTGAAGATTTATCTGTTATCCGCAAGAATGCATATGTAAGGCAGTAGATAAGGAGTTTTTGGCAAAGGCTAACAATATCCTTAAAGACAACGTCCTAAGTAAATATATTAAATGTTATAGTGATGAACTATTTTTTTAGTTCACAAATATATGGTCTTGGTTGGGCCAGATTCATTGATGTTTTATGTGATGACACCACAGTGCAAATGATAATTGTATAATTTAACATGTTTTTTGATGTGAATTTCAGTGAAAGAAGAAGTGAACAATGGTAAAGAGGTTGCAGAGAATGATAGCAATCATCATCCTCGTCTAAACCACTCTGACAGCATTCCTGATGCAGCCTTCAGTGATGAGGAGGATGACATACCATTAGGTAAGCAGCAGTATTTAAAATTCTGATAAAATGCTCAAATATCCAAATTGGGTCTTGTTTGTATGGAACACAGTATGTAATTTGAATTTTTAAAAGACTGTAAATATTGTGATGAATGCTTTTAAATTGCAACATAATTTGATTGATAGCTTAGTTTTGTTGGTTGATTTAATTTAATATTCATTATTTCCAGGGAAGTTAAGATCTGAAATGAAATTTAGACCAATCAAAGAGCCACCCAAATATAAGCCAGTTGATATCACAGACTACATAGATCAGCTGCCAGATGGAGATATGAAAGCTAGTGTATTGGAGTTGCAGAATGAAACGTAGATATCTATCACTTATTTCACAAATGTTTGGTGGCAAATTCCAGTTAAATGAGGATTGATTTTTAGTGTGTAAATGTCATATTTTTCATTTGTTTTTAGTTCTGTATCTGTGTTTGAAATTTTTAAGATACTCGCACTTGATTGTACATTTAAAGCAGATTTATCATATCTTAAGATTAAAACTGTAAAAGCAAGAAAACACATTTCATTATATGTATTCCTATTTCCAGTGATAATGAAATTCAGTGTGAAGTGATGGAAAAGTTGACGCAGGCTGTCATTCAAGAGGTGAAAAATAAAACTTGATTGATTGTGAAATGTTGCATTCTTAAATGCTTAGTTTGATAATATGTAAGTCTTATAAGAAAGGTTATGTTGAAAAAAAAACAGTTGGACCAAATTCCCACCTATGTTTCAGCTATGATATACTTAAAGTTACATATAAAGCAAGATAGATTCCCTGTAACACATAAAAATCACTAAAAATCCTGTATAACATAAAAAAAACTACCAGTTTCTAATAGAAATCAAATATGCTAAAGGATAACCCAAATTAATTACTCAGTCAGCCAATAAAAGTTGTTAAAACTGCACCTTTTTCAAACTTCTGGTCGTAAACTTGACCTATTTATCTGTTCCTCCAGTTCTTACAAGTCTGCCTAGTAACCTAGTAATGTATGATGCATTACTGTTGGGCATGCAATAGCAAAATTATTCAAATAAAAGTTGGCAGAAATGGCCAAGGGTTATATATAGCACAGAAAAGAAGTAGAAAATATCTGTTCATACATCATATTGGGATATTTGGGATGTATTAAGTGATATTCTTTGGCATTTCTTTAAGTTATGTAATTTGAAACTCTGTGGTGGCATTTGATAGGGTTTAGTGGCAATGATTTGACATGTCAGCTTGCTACAAATACATGTTTTAATATTCTGATTATGATTGCTTAACACTCCTCAGTAGTATTATATAAAACATGTTTTTTTCTCTTTCTTTTTGCTAGGATGACTTTGACCAGGAGGTCGCTATAACTCTGGCCACATGTCTCTGTCAGCTTCTTGTCAATCAACTCAATAATAATCTNTATAATGTTGAAAAAAAAAAACAGTTGGACCAAATTCCTACCTATGTTTCAGCTATGATATACTTAAAGTTACATATAAAGCAAGATAGGTTCCCTGTAACACATAAAAATCACTAAAAATCCTGCATAACATAAAAAACTACCAGTTTCTAATAGAAATCAAATATGCTAAAGGATAACCCAAATTAATTACTCAGTCAGCCAATAAAAGTTGTTAAAACTGCACCTTTTTCAAACTTCTGGTCGTAAACTTGACCTATTTATCTGTTCCTCCAGTTCTTAAAAGTCTGCCAAGTAACCTAGTAATGTGTGATGCATTACTGTTGGGCATGCAATAGCAAAATTATTCAAATAAAAGTTGGCAGAAATGGCCAAGGGTTATATATAGCACAGAAAAGAAGTAGAAAATATCTGTTCATACATCATATTTTGGGATGTATTAAGTGATATTCTTTGGCATTTCTTTAAGTTATGTAATTTGAAACTATATGGTTGCATTTGATAGGGTTTAGTGGCAATGATTTGACATGTCAGCTTGCTACAAATACATTTTTAATATTCTGATTATGATTGCTTAACACTCCTCAGTAGTATTATATAAAACATGTTTTTTTTTCTTTCTTTTTGCTAGGATGACTTTGACCAGGAGGTCGCTATAACTCTGGCCACATGTCTCTGTCAGCTTCTTGTCAATCAACTCAATAACAATCTCTTTCCACAAGTTGTAGACGAGGAGTCCGTGGAAGATTCAATAGGATCACCTTTGTTTGTGCTATTTAGGTAAAATACATGATATCATATGATTTTTTAAAAGTTTTACCTGTGGCTAAGGTTTTCTGTTAGACTTATATTTGCATCACCTTTTATTGTTATGTAGATAAATAGAATCTTGTTCATTATGTCAGTTTTCTTAAATTTACAGAAATTTATGTCAAACTCCAGAGGAAGATCCTAGTCGGCAGCCTTTACTTACATTAATTGGTGAAATGTATGCCAAGCAATCTAGAATAGGCTATTATATGCTTTACTACTTAAAAGTAGGGTAAGTATCGTATAACTGTATTTTATTAGTATTACTTTGTCAGAAAATATGCAATAATTCATGAATCATCAGAGCTCTTGCATTGCATTTGCTTTGATAAGCACAATGAAAGATTTTATTACTTAAAATCAAATTGTCTTAAGAATACAGTATTATTGTATGTCTGTTTGGCATGTTTCTTGATTATTTTTCAGGAAAATTGTGGATGACAAGATGTCAACATACAAAGATTTTTGCAAAACTTTAGAAAACAGAGATATTGAGTCCTGTTTAATGACAGACCTAAGAGTAAGTGCCTTTCATTAAGTTCCCAAATAAATATGAGAACTGTCTCAGTTACAACAACATTTTTTTTCTGTAGGTTAATTAGATTCAATAATTAAAAACAGGTGTGTGTTTGTCAGCACATGTTCAGTTCCAACATTTTAGCGGGTAGGAGGGGGGTTATCACCTGACAATGAATCACAGTTGTATGTCATTAGTACACTACTTTATAACTGTACAAATATTTTAATTATGAGAAGCATTTATATGTTATATTTTGTTAGATGTTCCCTCTAAAATATTATTCTGTTGTTGTAGTTATGTCAAGAGGATGACGTGCGATTGTTCACCTATCTCATCCCAGACATCTATACTCAGGTAAGACTATTGTTAACAGTCATTATGCATTTGGTCTTTTTAGTTGATATACTGTATTATATAACATCATTATAGATATCATGAAAAGGACTAAATGTTACTTTAAAATCTCAAACATTACATATCTATCTTCATTTTAGTTTCCAAATATTGCAATTGGGAGTGCAGAGCTTCTTCATCTTATTGTGTCTTCCATTGATGGTTCTCAGGTAACTTGATATTACAGAAGATAGCAAAAGATATATATTCAGATAACATGCAATGTTTAGTGCTGATGTTGACAGCTAATTCTCTTTAGGGATGTCAGGAAGAAGCCTGGTGTCGTATTTTACAACATTAGAAGAAAGTTAACTTGTTCTCTCTTAAGATGGAATTGCACTGATTACATTTTGGCCTAAGGCTGAAGTACTAGATGGTATGGAACTGTAAATGTCTGCTTTATATTTCTGATAAGTAGCAAATATTACCACTTCAACATAACAGGAAACTAACAGGTTTTTGGTTTTACAGCTTCAGGATCTAGTATGTCAAATACTCCAGGGGCATCTCATCATGTTCAGGAAAGACTCATTCCTCTCTATTCTAAGTAAGTGAAAAGCAACACAGCAATATATATTTCCATTTCATTTGTGTTCAGTTTGCCTTAAGTTTGGCTGCATTTCCAAGTTTTAAGTTTGATATAACAAATTGTCTATTTATAATTATGATGATGATAATTATTGTAACTTTAACTATTATTATTGATTTTTGTTAAATAAACACCTGAATATTTTGGTATTTTGGTAATTTAGCAGCAGCAGCTCAATAATTTCTTTCAATTGTACTAAAACCCAATGACTGATTTAACACTTTAAAAATCAACATTGCAGATGCCAGTTTAGAATGGGAGACAATAGAGCAATACTTTCTTTGGCAGCTTATTGCAGCACACAACATACCTGTGGAGCACATCATGCCAATTCTTCCAAAGTTAGAGTTCCAAAGTAAGATTATTTTTGTAAGACACTAACTACCATTAAGATCCACCTCATCATTTTTAAGAGAAAGAAATTTATAAATGCTTAAAATATCCTCTTAAAGCACCCTTTCCAGACTCATTAAATTTATCATTTTAGCTCATGCAGAAGCCTTGTCAAGCATCCTTATACAGCTGAAGCAGGAATGGTAAGTCCATGAAAAACACTTAGATTTAGATATATGTACCTTAATGTATCGTTTTATTGAGCTCAGTTCATTTACTTTTTATGTAAATATACTTAAAATCCAGATGCCCAGACTACAAATATGTTGACAATACTATGGTGTATGACATGTCAGTGGTCCATGCCATCTGCAAAGTGCAGGTAACGAACTCCTGCATTGGACACAAAATAACAGCATAAAACTGAATGCCACAAATACCAAGAGCATGACCATAAATTTTACACATACACCAGACCTTCCACCAATAGTTATTATTGTTATTATTATGTCAGTGGTGATAAAAATATCAGTGAATGCAATGTTAAGTGAAGTGAATGTTTTATGTATTTCAGCCCATCTGCAGAATTGCTAAGGCCAATATTTTGCCGTGAGTGCAAGAAGCATGACTACTTCTCTGTGTCCATACTTAAATATTGGGCCCAAGAATATGAAGATAAACTGGCAGATTTGGTGCTTGCTCAAATATCCAAGTCAAATCCATCCACACCAAACAGGAAAAGGCAAAGGTACAGCTTTCAGTCATTTAACGTATAACTTTTTGTAAAGTTTATACTGCTTTCTTGAGCTATATGAACTGGCTTTTACGTTCAGCATTTGGTTTGGTTTGTTGTATTCTTTTCGGCAAACTGATACATGTATAATCTAGTCTGTAAGTGTATTTTCAAGAAAAAATAATTAATTTTTATATTTCCAGAAGTACATCAACAAGTATATCAGCAAACAAAAAGGAGAATCCAACAATTGAACAAACTCTGTCTCACTTAGATCACATGAGACAAGTTTGTCGAAATATTTCATGTAAGTGTAAAAATTTTATTAACTACTATAGAGTTCATTAATTTGATAATTATTCCTTTTCAATAGTGAATTTTAATAGGATTTGTTAAAACTATTACAGATTTAGTGTATTTATATTTATTTTCCAGTCATTACACATGAATCAATGCAACAGGCTCTCCAGTATGTTCAGTGTAATTGCACAGATTCAATAAAGATGAAGTAAGTGAATTCCAGTTTCTGTGTATGTGTCATTCAACAGAAAAAAAGTCTAGGCAAATTTGAATATTTCACCATCTGGCCAAAGGGGCTAAGTACTTAGGATATATGTAATAAACCACCCCACCTCCTACACTTTCTCGATGTGTGTCACTTAAAGGGATAATAACTCTGTGTATCAGATCTATATTTCACAATAAAAACATTGTGAATAACTCATGGAAATATAATATGTTTTACCACAAAAATGGAAGTTATAGCCATTATTCTGATATCTGAGCTTGTCTTTAAACCACGTGACCTCCATTGGTGGCTATACTCTGTTAAAATCTCTTAAGAGATTTTAAGAAAAAAAACCTTTTTAGAAGAAAAACAGGGACTAACTTTGAATGTAAAAATGGATTCATTAACCATTGGTAAGTATGGGAAAATTGTTGTTTACTCCAGGAAAATTCATTTTTTGGACGAAAAGAAGGGTAATTATCCCTTTAACTCCCCAAGTCTATCAGTGGTCATGTTGTGCTGAACAACATCAAGGCATATTGCATGTCCAATGCCAGATTATTATTCACATTTTCACTGAATTTAGCCTGAAGAAGTATGGCAAATTATTGGCCTTGGCACTCAGGGCCAATCTGGGGGATTCACCCCTCTCACACCACTTCCCTTCTCTGATTATGTGGATCTGCCAGTGGGTGTTATTTTGCATGTTCAATATGTAAAGTTTAGTGTTTAGTGCCAGATCATTTAAATGGCACATGAACTACAGCCAGTCTTTATATTTCAGGTATGGTGATTTATTAGCCTTAGCAGAAGATTTTGAAGATGTAAAAACCACACGTGTTCTCAGAGGACGAACTAAAGCTAATATTAGTCCCAAACCAACTGCCAGCAAGCAGAAGAAATCACCAGCCCAAGCACCAAGTGATAGCTCTTCAGAGAGTAGCGAGGTCAGAATTTTCTTTTGAATTATAAATCAGATCAACAATAGAACTAGGATGTTCTTTAATTCTTATTTCAGATTTAAGTTCTAATCTCCCAGATTAGTTAAACAGTGGTCTAACAACATATAAATACTTTTAAATGCTTGGCCAAAAAATGAAGTGACTTTACTAAATATCATCTAGATAAACCAACATCTTATTTATAAATTTTTTGCTAATTTACAGGATGAAATTGTCAAACCAAAAACGAAGAAGAGGAAACGAGGAGCAACGCCACTTGATGAAGATGAAGATGATTGAGGAATTGAACAAAGAAATTTTAATCTTAAAAATACTTTTTTAAATCTTGCTGGAGAGAAAAAAAAATAACAATGATTACATATGGCAATACTTCCACAGTCATTTTCAATGGTGCATTGCTTTAATAGTATATACCATACCATGCATCAGTAGATTTATTGAATGCACATAGTGCAGCAGTTGATTTTCTGGTTTGAGAAGAAGCCAAAACTGTTACAGCAACTTTTAGGTGGTGATCAAGTTTTGAATATAATAAACTTTCCAGGTTGTAACTGTGGATGTCATGTGTATAGCATATTTAATTTTTCAACATATACAGTACCTTTGTGTCCACAGAAGACTGGCTTGACCAATATTGCGTTTTACATGTATAAAGCCAGGAAAAATGTACATTTTCAAAGTTTATATTGGTTTTCTGTCTTTGTAATTTACAAAAACATAAGTGCAATTGAAAAGCACTTTGTTCAGCAATTAAATAAAGATATCTTTTTGCATTTATTTTTTTTTCTGGACTTCTTGTAGTTGGTTATTGCAGTGAATCACGGAGGTGAAATTTCTCAAATTGCTTCAAATAAATATAAATATTTATTAAGGTCAAATTGAGCCTCAGCAACAAATTAATTACGCAACACTAATATCCTGAAACTTGAGAGATAGGTTAGGGTAGGTTGAAGAAAACTTGTTTTACTGTTAAGTTTTTACATGTCAGGTATGCAGGTTTGGCCCAATATCAAGTCAATTTGTTTTATTCAACCAAAACTTCTTTTAAAAAATGAATCTACAATTTCAGTAATGATATTTACAAATACAGTATAAGTCCAATATTACAAGGAGTTCATTTTAGCAGTTCAATGTGGAGCACAGTGTATCTGAGTAATTCCCTTTTTACTTGCTATATTGCACAACGCCACAAAAATTCCTCTGAAAACCCCTTTGTCTTCTGTTACACTTGAATGAATGTCACCTTTGGATCTTCTTAAGTTGGTCCATTATTTCTGGAAGATTCTCTACGCTGAAAATATAAAAACAAAATTAGTTCACATTCCATTCTTTACCTTGATATAAATCTTGGAGAAATGACAAGGATCTACATCGAAGTGTTAAAAATGTAAAAAAAAATGAAAATGAATCAAGACATAAACATTACTTCCTTACAACAACTTGCAGCCAGAAAAGATAGCAAACACTTATCTCAATCTCAGAATGCTCACGAGGAGAGGCATATAGACTTTTTTGCACACATACACCACACATTATTACAGTTTTCACAGTAAAAATATAAAGTGTATCAAAGTGAAAAGCGGTCACATAAGTACAGAATGACCCGAATTTTTTCAATGGAGAAAATGATTAATCTTTCCAATCCAAAATTTTGAAAAGTTAAGACATTATATTTCTGTGTAGCATTTGTGGTGTTTTTACTGTTACAAAGTAGCCTGCTTTTCAGTTTTGTTGCTTCCACTCAATGGAAATGCTCTAATTAAAAGAATTTATAACTTAAAAACTACAATGTCAGATTCTTTTCATTTCACCATTTTCCTCACTGAAAAGACTGGGTCATTATTGTTTGCTAAAAAAAGATGTTAACAGCTACATAACTAATTCCCTAACATGGCAAAAGTTTTTCTTCCATATGCTACTATGGTATAATAAGCCTAAAGAAAGAGAAGCTTAGGCTCTATTCCCATAGATTTTAGATCGATCTATCCGCGCGGGGAGTCTCACTAGATTACTTTCGGATAATCCGACTTAAATGTCTGTCCCGCCTACTACAAGCTGTAAGGGTGTAATTAACTTTCGTGTTCGCCTGGCTGACAGCTACATGTATTTAGCGTGAACCCCCAGGGAATTAGGTCGATCTAAAGTAGGTCGATCTAATCTATGGAAATGGGGTGTTAGATGCCTATGGCTAACTTGACTGCAATTTTGCAATTCTTTGTGTAATCATTACAAATTTTCTGTAAGGCAGAGGACCTCTAATGAGAATGGTTTCAGCTCCCCAGAGAATTTTATCATAATCAATATCAGTTAACTAGCCTGATAGCAAATTAATCCCTACATGTACAAAACTAGTTTCTGAGTAGTTACAGCATACTCCCCTCAAGCCAGTATACAAGCTCTGTCAAAATTTATGAAATGGTTTAATAGGATGTGTGCTTGGCAACTGAAAATTGCAGTCAGTACATTGAAATACAGCACATTAAATGAAACAGACCTCCAAGTCAGAAAAAATTTGATAAGTTGATTAGCAAGAGGCAACCACTGTTAACAAATCCACAAAAACAAAACATTAACAGCAGCATTAAATTTTTTCTGGGTTCACTTTTAAATTTCTCACATTAACCACATTAGTACCTACATGTAATGCATTTGTTTTCCTTTAAAAATATGTGCAAAAAATTATTCTAATTTCCTCCAAATTGTGGTTGGTTGCACTCATTAACCAATTAATCAAACTTAGCAAAATTAATTTTATTGAAACTTGCAGCAGCAAAACAAAGCTGTGAAGGAGAAAAAAAGTGACAAGTGCACATCTAATCCCCAGACCCTCACTCCTTAGTAGTTTATTGAGGGAAATCTTACCACCTTCTCTCTATGGCCTCTTGTCTGAAATAATTTGTAAAATCATAAGAGTTACACATATTGAATTCATTGAATTGTTCACTCCAATATGAATGTTTCCTGTAAAATTGATGAATTTTTTATCATTTGAATAAGACATGAGAAAAAAGGGAAAAAGTTACATATTTTTATGTTATTTAATTTATTGATATTCATTAATTAATATTATTTTTCATTTTTTTGTACCTGTATCCAACCACCATTCAGACATGCATACTTACTGGAACTGTAGATGTGATGTTGTCAAACCCATTCTTTGTAATGTCTAAAAGCAAGCATAAACATTCATTTGATTTGTAAAGAAATAGGGAGTACATTCAATTTATTTTCAAAAGGCTGAAGAGATATATTAAAAGGATTCACCTAAAGGCACCAATCTGTTGTAATTGAAGTCAAATACACATCTGCCAATACTCAATTTTAGATGTTATTGAACACTACGAAAGGAATAGGCTGAATAGAGATCAAATGTATAACATTAGTTGCAAAAAATTAAATACCTGATATGAGTTTTCAACTGCTCCTTCATGGAATGCAAAATTTTTTGCTGCTTGGGTTAGTGCCTAAGAGAAAATAAAATAAAATATTATAAATTAAAAAAATTATAATATCTTCCTGAAGCAACTAGTCCAACAATAGCAAATATAATGTACTAGTAACAGTGTATGANGGTTATGTTGAAAAAAAAACAGTTGGACCAAATTCCCACCTATGTTTCAGCTATGATATACTTAAAGTTACATATAAAGCAAGATAGATTCCCTGTAACACATAAAAATCACTAAAAATCCTGTATAACATAAAAAAAACTACCAGTTTCTAATAGAAATCAAATATGCTAAAGGATAACCCAAATTAATTACTCAGTCAGCCAATAAAAGTTGTTAAAACTGCACCTTTTTCAAACTTCTGGTCGTAAACTTGACCTATTTATCTGTTCCTCCAGTTCTTACAAGTCTGCCTAGTAACCTAGTAATGTATGATGCATTACTGTTGGGCATGCAATAGCAAAATTATTCAAATAAAAGTTGGCAGAAATGGCCAAGGGTTATATATAGCACAGAAAAGAAGTAGAAAATATCTGTTCATACATCATATTGGGATATTTGGGATGTATTAAGTGATATTCTTTGGCATTTCTTTAAGTTATGTAATTTGAAACTCTGTGGTGGCATTTGATAGGGTTTAGTGGCAATGATTTGACATGTCAGCTTGCTACAAATACATGTTTTAATATTCTGATTATGATTGCTTAACACTCCTCAGTAGTATTATATAAAACATGTTTTTTTCTCTTTCTTTTTGCTAGGATGACTTTGACCAGGAGGTCGCTATAACTCTGGCCACATGTCTCTGTCAGCTTCTTGTCAATCAACTCAATAATAATCTTTTTCCACAAGTTGTAGACGAGGAGTCCGTGGAAGATTCAATAGGATCACCTTTATTTGTGCTATTTAGGTAAAATACATGATATCATATGATTTTTTAAAAGTTTTACCTGTGGCTAAGGTTTTCTGTTAGACTTATATTTGCATCACCTTTTATTGTTAGGTAGATAGATAGAATCTTGTTCATTATGTCAGTTTTCTTAAATTTACAGAAATTTATGTCAAACTCCAGAGGAAGATCCTAGTCGGCAGCCTTTACTTACATTAATTGGTGAAATGTATGCCAAGCAATCTAGAATAGGCTATTATATGCTTTACTACTTAAAAGTAGGGTAAGTATCGTATAAGTGTATTTTATTAGTATTACTTTGTCAGAAAATATGCAATAATTCATGAATCATCAGAGCTCTTGCATTGCATTTGCTTTGATAAGCACAATGAAAGATTTTATTACTTAAAATCAAATTGTCTTAAGAATACAATATTGTTGTATGTCTGTTTGGCATGTTTCTTGATTATTTTTCAGGAAAATTGTGGATGACAAGATGTCAACATACAAAGATTTTTGCAAAACTTTAGAAAACAGAGATATTGAGTCCTGTTTAATGACAGACCTAAGAGTAAGTGCCTTTCATTAAGTTCCCAAATAAATATGAGAACTGTCTCAGTTACAACAACATTTTTTTTCTGTAGGTTAATTAGATTCAATAAACAGGTGAGTGTTTGTCAGCACATGTTCAGTTCCAACATTTTAGGGGGTAGGAGGGGGGTTATCACCTGACAATGAACCACAGTTGTATGTCATTAGTACACTACTTTATAACTGTACAAATATTTTAATTATGAGAAGCATTTATATGTTATATTTTGTTAGATGTTCCCTCTAAAATATTATTCTGTTGTTGTAGTTATGTCAAGAGGATGACGTGCGATTGTTCACCTATCTCATCCCAGACATCTATACTCAGGTAAGACTATTGTTAACAGTCATTATGCATTTGGTCTTTTTAGTTGATATACTGTATTATATAACATCATTATAGATATCATGAAAAGGACTAAATGTTACTTTAAAATCTCAAACATTACATATCTATCTTCATTTTAGTTTCCAAATATTGCAATTGGGAGTGCAGAGCTTCTTCATCTTATTGTGTCTTCCATTGATGGCTCTCAGGTAACTTGATATTACAGAAGATAGCAAAAGATGTATATATTCAGATAACATGCAATGTTTAGTGCTGATGTTGACAGCTAATTCTCTTTAGGGATGTCAGGAAGAAGCCTGGTGTTGTATTTTACAACATTAGAAGAAAGTTAACTTGTTCTCTCTTAAGATGGAATTGCACTGATTACATTTTGGCCTAAGGCTGAAGTACTAGATGGTATGGAACTGTAAATGTCTGCTTTATATTTCTGATAAGTAGCAAATATTACCACTTCAACATAACAGGAAACTAACAGGTTTTTGGTTTTACAGCTTCAGGATCTAGTATGTCAAATACTCCAGGGGCATCTCATCATGTTCAGGAAAGACTCATTCCTCTCTATTCTAAGTAAGTGAAAAGCAACACAGCAATGTATATTTCCATTTCATTTGTGTTCACAGTTTGCCTTAGCCAGATTGAAAATGATTGGCTGCATTTCCAAGTTTTAAGTTTGATATAACAAATGGTCTATTTATAATTATAATGATGATAATTATTGTAACTTAAACTATTATTATTGATTTTTGTTAAATAAACACCTGAATATTTTGGTAATTTAGCAGCAGCAGCTCAATAATTTCTTTCAATTGTACTAAAACCCAATGACTGATTTAACACTTTAAAAGTCAACATTGCAGATGCCAGTTTAGAATGGGAGACAATAGAGCAATACTTTCTTTGGCAGCTTATAGCAGCACACAACATACCTGTGGAGCACATCATGCCAATTCTTCCAAAGTTAGAGTTCCAAAGTAAGATTATTTTTGTAAGACACTAACTGCCATTAAGATCCACCTCATCATTTTTAAGAGAAAGAAATTTATAAATGCTTAAAATATCCTCTTAAAGCACCCTTTCCAGACTCATTAAATTTATCATTTTAGCTCATGCAGAAGCCTTGTCAAGCATCCTTATACAGCTGAAGCAGGAATGGTGAGTCCATGAAAAACACTTAGATTTAGATATATGTACCTTAATGTATCGTTTTATTGAGCTCAGTTCATTTACTTTTTATGTAAATATACTTAAAATCCAGAGGCCAATACTATGGTGTATGACATGTCAGTGGTCCATGCCATCAGCAAAGTGCAGGTAACGAACTCCTGCATTGGACACAAAATAACAGCATAAAACTGAATGCCACAAATACCAAGAGCATGACCATAAATTTTACACATACACCAGACCTTCCACCAATAGTTATTATTGTTATTATTATGTCAGTGGTGATAAAAATATCAGTGAATGCAATGTTAAGTGAAGTGAATGTTTTATGTATTTCAGCCCTTCTGCAGAATTGCTAAGGCCAATATTTTGCCGTGAGTGCAAGAAGCATGACTACTTCTCTGTGTCCATACTTAAATATTGGGCCCAAGAATATGAAGATAAACTGGCAGATTTGGTGCTTGCTCAAATATCCAAGTCAAATCCATCCACACCAAACAGGAAAAGGCAAAGGTACAGCTTACAGTCATTTAACGTATAACTTTTTGCAAAGTTAATACTGCTTTCTTGAGCTATATGAACTGGCTTTTACGTTCAGCATTTGGTTTGGTTTGTTTTAATGTATTCTTTTCAGCAAACTGATACATGTATAATCTAGTCTGTAAGTGTATTTTCAAGAAATAATAAAGAAATTTTTATATTTCCAGAAGTACATCAACAAGTATATCAGCAAACAAAAAGGAGAATCCAACAATTGAACAAACTCTGTCTCACTTAGATCACATGAGACAAGTTTGTCGAAATATTTCATGTAAGTGTAAAAATTTTATTAACTACTATAGAGTTCATTAATTTCATAATTATTTCTTTTCAATAGTGAATTTTAATAGGATTTGTTAAAACTATTACGGATTTATTGTATTTATATTTATTTTCCAGTCATTACACATGAATCAATGCAACAGGCTCTCCAGTATGTTCAGTGTAATTGCACAGATTCAATAAAGATGAAGTAAGTGAATTCCAGTTTCTGTGTATGTGTCATTCAACAGAAAAAAAGTCTAGGCAAATTTGAATATTTCACCATCTGGCCAAAGGGGCTAAGTACTTAGGATATATGTAATAAACCACCCCACCTCCCACCCTTTCTCGGTGTGTGTCACTTAAAGGGATAATAACTCTTCGTATCAGATCTATATTTCACAATAAAAACATTGTGAATAACTCAAAGCAATATAATATATTGTTTTACCACAAAAATGGCAGTTATAGCCATTATTCTGATATCTGAGCTTGTCTTTAGACCACGTGACCTCCATTGATGGCTATACTCTGTTAAAATCGCTTAAAGTCATAATAACTCTTCGTTTTGGCCAAAAATTGGATTTTCCTGGAGTAAACGGCAATTTTCCCGCACTCACCAATGGTCAGCGTCCCCTTTCCTGCATTCAAAGTTAATCCAGGGTTTTTTTCCTAAACGTACGGTTTTTTGTTAAAATCTCTTAAGTGATTTTAACTGACGGAGCCCTCTCTAACATAGCATATCGAGCGGGGTTTTCTGATGACCTATTTAAAACCGCGGGAAAAGCAAACAACAACAACACTTTATTGCAATAAAATAAGATTCATACGATATAATCGTCTTAATTGCTCATATTCACAACGTGTGCAGTTCTGGGCTTTTCGTTATCCGACACACTGTACAAAAACTCGCAACTTACGTCTGAGGATTGTGTCATGCGCCTGTGTTATTTTGGTCTCGACTGCACGCGAGAATCCGCGTGATGCGCCAAAATCCTTGGCAACGAAAGCCTTGATGACCGGGAAAAAAGGCACCGAAAGCCCTATTGACAAGCACAGTTTTTAGTTTTACTACAATAACAGCCGTTTTAGTGGTGAAATGCAATATAATATATTTCCGTGTGTTGTTTAGAATGTATTTCTTGCGGAATTTTGAATCTCAAAGGAAGAGTTATTATTGCTTTAAGAGATTTTAAGAAAAAACCAAACTTCTTAGAAAAAAAAACAGGGACTAACTTTGAATGTAAAAATGGATTCATTAACCATTGGTAAGTATGGGAAAATTGTTGTTTACTCCAGGAAAATTCATTTTTTGGCTGAAACGAAGAGTTATTATCCCTTTAACTCCCGAAGTCTATCAGTGGTCATGTTGTGCTGAACAACATCAAGGCATATTGCATGTCCAATGCCAGATTATTATTCACATTTTCACTGAATTTAGCCTGAAGAAGTATGGCAAATTATTGGCCTTGGCACTCAGGGCCGATCTAACCCCTCTCACACCACTTCCCTTCTCTGATTATGTGGATCTGCCAGTGGGTGTTATTTTGCATGTTCAGTATGTAAAGTTTAGTGTTTAGTGCCAGATGATTTAAATGGCACATGAACTACAGCCAGTCTCTATATTTCAGGTATGGTGATTTATTAGCCTTAGCAGAAGATTTTGAAGATGTAAAAACCACACGTGTTCTCAGAGGACGAACTAAAGCCAATACTAGTCCCAAACCAACTGCCAGCAAGCAGAAGAAATCACCAGCCCAAGCACCAAGTGATAGCTCTTCAGAGAGTAGCGAGGTCAGAATTTTCTTTTGAATTATAAGTCAGATCAACAATAGAACTAGGATGCTCTTTAATTCTTATTTCAGATTTAAGTTCTAATCTCCCAGATTAGTTAAACAGTGGTCTAACAACATATAAATACTTTTAAATGCTTAGTCATAATAATGAAGTGACTTTACTAAATATCATCTAGATAAACCAATATCTTATTTATAATTTTTTTTGCTAATTTACAGGATGAAATTGTCAAACCAAAAACAAAGAAGAGGAAACGAGGAGCAACACCACTTGATGAAGATGAAGATGATTGAGGAATTGAACAAAGAAATTTTAATCTTAAAAATACTTTTTTAAATCTTGCTGGAGAGAAAAAAATAATGATGATTACATATGGCAATACTTCCACAGTCATTTTCAATGGTGCATTGCTTTAATAGTGTATACCATACCATGCATCAGTAGATTTATTGAATGCACATAGTGCAGCAGTTGATTTTCTGGTTTGAGAAGAAGCCATAACTGTTACAATAACTTTTAGTGGTGATCAAGTTTTGAATATAATAAACTTTCCAGGTTGTAACTGTGAATGTCATGTGTATAGCATATTTAATTTTTCAACATATACAGTACCTTTGTGTCCACAGAAGACTGGCTTGACCAATATTACGTTTTACATGTATAAAGCCAGGAAAAGTGTACATTTTCAAAGTTTATATTGGTTTTCTGTCTTTGTAATTTACAAAAACATAAGTGCAATTGAAAAGCACTTTGTTCAGCAATTAAATAAAGATATCTTTTTGCATTTATTTTTTTCTGGGCTTCTTGTAGTTGGTTATTGCAGTGAATCACGGAGGTGAAATTTCTCAAATTGCTTCAAATTTATATAAATATTTATCAAGGTCAAATTGAGGTTCAGCAACATGTTAATTACACAACACTAATATTCTGAAACTTGAGAGATGGGTTAGGGTAGGTTGAAGAAAACTTCTTTTACTTCCTTGTGTTAAGTTTTTGCCTGTCAGGTTTTATTCAACCAACACTTCTTTTAAAAAATGAATCTCAAATATTTACAATTACAGTATAAGTCCTCCAATATTACAAGGAGTTCATTTTAGCAGTTCAATGTGGAGCACAGTGTATCTGAGTGATTCCCATTTTACTTGCTATATTGCACAACGCCACAAAAATTCCTTTCAAAAACCCCTTTGTCTTCTGTTACACTTGAATGAATGTCACCTTTGGATCTTTTTAAGTTGGTCCATAATTTCTGGAAGATTCTCTACACTGAAAATACAAAAACAAAATTAGTTACAGATTTCATTCTTGATATAAATCTTGGAGAAATGACAAGGGTCTACATTGAAGTGTTAAAAATGTAAAAACATAAAAAAGCTTTGAAAATGAATCAAGACAAACATTACTTCCTCACAACATCTTGCAGCCAGAAAAGAAAGCAAACACTTATCTCAGAATGCTCATCAGGAGAGGCATACAGACTTTTTTTTTTCACATATACACCACATACTACAGTTTTCACAGTAAAGATACAAAGTGTCAGAATGACCGGATTTTTTTTTCAATGGGGAAAATGATTAATCTTTCCAATCCAATTTTGGAATGGTAAGACATTAATATTCTGTGTAGCATTTGTGTTGTTTTTACTGTTACACAGTAGCCTGCTTTTCAGTTTTGTTGCTTCCACTCAAAGGAAATGTTCTAATGAAAAGAATTTAAAAATAACTACAATGTCAGATTCTTTTCATTTCACCATTTTCCTCACTGAAAGGACTGAGTCATTATTGTTTGCAAAAATGCACATATTTTAAGATTTCAACAGCTACATAACTAATTTCCTAACATGGCGAAAGTTTTTCTTCCTGTATGCCACTATGGTATAATAAGCCTTAAGAAAGAGAAGCTTAGATGCCAATGGTTAACTTGACTGCAACTTTGCAATTCTTTGTGTAATCATTACCAATTTTCTATAAGGTAGAGGACCTCTAATGAGAATGGTTTCAGCTCCCCAGAAAACTTTATCATAATCAATATCAGTTAACTAGCCTGATAGCAAATTAATCCCTACATGTACAAGACTAGTTTCTGAGTAGTTACAACATACTCCCTTCAACCCAGTATATAATCTCTGTCAAAATTTATGAAATGGTTGAATAGCATGTAAGCTTGGCAAAGGAAAATTGCAGTCAGTACATTGAAACAGCACATTAAATGAAACAGACCTCCAAGTCAGAAAAAAATATGGTAAGTTGATTAGCAAGAGGCAACCACTGTAAACAAATCCACAAAAACAAAACATTAACAGCAGCATTAAATTTTTTCTGGGTTCACTTTTAAATTTCTTACATTAACCACATTAATACCTAATGCATTTGTTTTCCTTTAAAAAATAGGTGCAAAAAATGATTCTAATTTCCTCCAAATTGTGGTTGGTTGTACTCATTAACCAATTAACCAAATTTGTCTGGCCTTAGCAAAATTAATTTTATTGAAACTTGAAGCAGCAAAACAAAGCTATGAAGGAGAAAAAAGTGAAAAGTGCACATCTAATCCCCAGACCCTCACTCGTTAGTAGTTTACTGAGGGAAATCTTACCACCTTCTCTCTATGGCCTCTTGTCTGAAATTTATTTGTAAAGTCATAAGAGTTACACATATTGAATTCATTGAATTTTTCACTCCAATATGAATGTTTCCTGTAAAATTGAAGAATTTTTTATCATTTGAATAAGACATGAGAAAAAAAGGGAAAAAGTTACATATATTTATGTTATTAAATTTACTGATATTCATTAATTAATATTATTTTTCATTTTTTTTGTACCTGTATCAAACCACCATTCAGACATGCATACTTACTGGAACTGTAGATGTGATGTTGTCAAACCCATTCTTTGTAATGTCTAAAAGTAAGCATAAACATTCATTTGATTTGTAAAGAAACAGGGAGTACATTCAATTTATTTTCAAAAGACTGAAGAGATATACTGTATTAAAAGGATAAACTATTAAGGCACCAATCTGTTGTAATTGAAGTCAAATACACATCTGCCAATACTCAATTTTAGATGTTATTGAACACTACGAAAGGAATAGGCTGAATAGAAATCAAATGTATAACATTAGTTGCAAAAAATGAAATACCTGATATGAGTTTTCAACTGCTCCTTCATGGAATGCAAAATTCTTTGCTGCTTGGGTTAGTGCCTAAGAGAAAATAAAATAAAATATTATAAATTAAAAAAATTATTATATCTTCCTGAAGAATCTAGTCCAACAATAGCAAATTTAATGTGCTAGTAATATATCTCACTGAGCTGCTACAAAAATTTGCTTTGTTGAAGATACATGTACATGTTCCATGTTCTTCACACCCACCTTTCCATTCCCCAAGAGAGAGAGAGAGAGAGAGTGTGTGTGTGTGTGTGTGTGTGTGTGTGTGTGTGTGTGTGCACAGTTCTTATGTCCAAAGTGAGGTATGTTGATATGCACATAAATAGCATTTGTTCTGTGTGTGTTTCTTAAAGAAAATGCAATCGAAATGCAATCTTAGGAAAAGGAGAGACGGTATTTTGAAGTAACGTCGATGGACGACAGTGGCTCAAATAACGTTAGGTATATCAGAAAATTTTTCAAACTGTTCAGAAAATTATAATACTCATATCTTCTGAAAGGTAATGCTTAAAACAGATGAATTCTTTTGGAATTTTTAAAATATTCCGACAAGCAACAAAGATATTGAAGTTTTTTAACTGCAAAATTTCACCAAAAGGGTCCACACTTTTCAGCTAAAAACCTGTGACCACTGACCAGCAGTGATCACTCAGTTGTAGCTGCAGCTTAAACTGCTTGTGACCAATTAGGGCAAGTGTGTGTGTGTGTGTGTGTGTGTGTGTGTGTGTGTGTGTGTGTGTGATTTAATTTTAAGGGGGTGGGTTTATAAATCACATTTTATTAGCGATTTTAATTTAATTGTTAGGTATTATGAAAACAAAAAGAATCAGTCAAGATGATAAGATACCATTGGAACTGTATATAGTGAATTTCGATGAAGTTTAGGAAGTTTCTTACGGTAATAGTTCCAAAGTCATATTAATCTAAAATTAAAAGTACATGTACAGTATTTATTTAGTATATTAAAAATAGCTGGTATAAGCTAGTAATGCAGCTGCCTTAGACAACACTAAGCTGCCAACGGCTAGTGAATCTAAAAACCACAGGTTTTAGATCCATGCAGGTGAGATACCAGCAGACGTACTGGTACATGTTCAAGATAGATTCTACCAATGACTGACATTGCCAATGACAAAAATGTCTCAAGCCGAAATCAAAAGCTAAAAGCGAAACAGTGTTAGTTTCCCAGATTTACTTTGCTATGTTCTAATATACCTCGGTTGATTTAGAAACTTTCAAAACTTGTCGTGCCAGAGACCCTGCATCGCAGACTGTCGTAGTTATTTTCTCTTGAAGGCGAGCCTTCGTTTCCTGATTCCAGTTGCTGGAAGCCATATTTGTTTATGTCGTAATATTGTGTATTGTATACTGTCACAGCCACTGCTCCTTTTAACCTTTATCGCGAGAGATATATTCATGTCTGTATAAAGTAACTATATCCAAGATTTTATCTAAAAGGTAGTATCTAATTATTAAAAAAGCACATCTTAAACGAGCACAAATGAATATTAATCTGTGTCACGAAGTACTCTCTTTTTAAGTACCCATTTCCGCCAAATTAGTTGACCTAGAAAAATAGCTGGCCGAAGCAATTTTAAAAGATGTATAGACGTCCCATTCACTATAAACACAGTTCTTTCGCCCAAAGCGAGGTATGTTGATATGCACGTAAATAGCATTTGTTCTGTGTGTGTTTCTTAAAGAAAATGCAATCGAAATGCAATCTTAGAAGAGATGGTTTTCGAAGTAACTTTTCAGTCGGAGAATAGCTGTAAAGCTAATGTTTCCATTCAATTTGTAACCGACATGAAATAAAATTTATTGTATTGTATTGTATTGTATTGTACGACGGCGCCTCAAATAACGTTAGATCACCCTGATCATCGTTTAAGCCAAGGGTAATCTCTCTCTTTGTAGTGTAGGTTTCACACGTTTCGGCTTATAAATAAAAATGCTACAGACTTGAAATTTGGCACAGGGTGGCCATATATTTGGGTATATTTGTTTTTTTTTCTTTCTTTTATATATATATATATATATATAGACTTGCCCTTCAAGAAATCGACGGAAAATAGATCTTTTTCAAATTTGAATGGGCACTGTAGAAAACTTATAACAGCTAAAGCTCTCAAATTAAGCACATATGTGTGATATCATGTGAAGAATAAGTTCTGTAAATTTCAATCCAAGCATTTGAGTATATTTTGAGACAGAACGCTTAAAATGTGCAGCAAACCGTAACGCTAATCCCTTCAAGATCTCGACGAAAACCGGAAGTGCGTCATGACGTCACTCGCTTGTACTTGGAAAGCTGCTGGGTGATTTTCCGATGAGAAATATTTCGTGGCTTATACAAATGTTAGGAAAATGACCATGCAGATAAAAGAAAATTCACTAATCAAAATTGTAACTGCGTAATTACATAGAAAAACATTGTGCATTTCTGACCTCGACTTGTCAGTGTATACAAAGTGTACTGAACGCATCGCAAGCAAGCACGTGAATGCCGCGTTTGATACTTTGTATCAGACGCTTCATTTTACTGGACAACACAGTGTTTACGATGGGCATGACAGGAAAATCAGTGCAAAAAACACGCACTTCCGGTTTTCGTCGATTTCTTGAAGGCGTCAATTTCTTGAAGGGCGAGTCTATATATATATATATATATATATATTTTTTTTTTTTTTTTTGAGCTATCCAATTTAGTTCAAAAGATATACTCAGCACTTAGTACTTAGGTACACAATGTTTTTAATATAAAAAATCGTTTTAATTTTTATAATTTTTTTTTCGTTAAAGATGTCATTCTAAAATGTGTCAAAAGTTGCCCAACTTTGTTTTCAAATAATAAATAAATAAATAATATTATCATAATCAATGAAACTTAAATTTGTCACAGAACAAGTGTAGGAGATGTCCTTAAAGGGATAATAACTCTTCGTATGAGATCTATATTTTACAATAAGAACATTGTAAACAACTCATAGAAATATAATATATTCTGTTTTACCACAAAAACGGCAGTTATAGCTATTATTCTGATATCTGAGATTGCCATCAGACCAGTTGACTCATATATGATGGCTATACCTTGTAATAATCTCTTAAGAGATTATAACATAAAATCAAACTTTTTGCAAAAAAAAAAAAACAGAGACTAACTTTGAATGTAGAAATGGATTCTTTAACCATTGATAAGTATGGTAAAATTGTTTACTCCATGAAAATTCATTTTTTTGGCCAAAACAAATAGTTAGTATCAATTTAAGATTGTCCACATAATATACATGTGGAGTGGGCAAAATGGAGGACTTAAGGGTCAACAAATAGGCTAGCAACATAAAAAATACAATGTGGTGCATTAGAACTCTAAGGTATACAAGTGGAAAGCAAAACTTTACCTCCTAACATTAGCTGAATGGGAAGTGGGTTGGGGGGGGGGGGGGGGGGGGAAAAAATGCCCCCAAAATATTTTCCTGAAAATTTCCCAATTTCTTATATGTTCTTATACGAAGCTAATATTTCATCTTGTTGTACCATTTTTTGTGACCTTTTCTAACTGGGATAGTGATAACCCTCACCAATTTAGCCAAACGCTAAATCTGACTTTAATTGTCTGAACATTATAGAATTGATTTGATTTAGTCAAATTTAAACCATTTGGTAAAAAAAGGGTGACCAAGTAGAGATTTGGCTAAGAAAAAAAATATAGCATTACTCCAGCCTAAGTTTTCAAAAGTCTTGCGTCAGTCAAGGCCAGTTTCTGAAGCAGTAGTTAAGGAGCATCATGCAATGTAATTTTAACAAGTAGAAACCTGATCTATATTCATTAAGTTTGTAAAAATGAACAACTTACACCACCTAGATTGTCTGAAGTCAAAACTCTCTGCAGTTGAGTACCAGAGCAGGGCAAAGATTGCAGATATTTTATATAATTTGATAAGTCCAAGACAGCAATCTCATGGCTGTAGGATCAGTTATGGCTGATGTTCTGGCTTTGTACTTTATTCATGCCAGTTACCAAGTGTATAGCATTTTATACCAAGGTAAAAAAAGGGTCTATTTTGACATACTATCTTTGTTAATTTTGATTAAATTGTGAATTACAAATTTTAGATTAAACCTTAATCAATCACTTAGATGTAGGCATGTTTTGAATTAACATGAGAATGAACTCCATACATTTTCCAGATTAATGATTAGTGTGGCTGATAGTGTGATGCCCAAGATGTCTTCCCTTGACCATAATCTTGTGAATACCATGTCAAAATATGTTGAAGTTCTGACAACATCAGGAAAACCAGAGTTGGATGAGACATTGATGAAAAATTTAAAAAGAATATGCAAGTTAGTTTCCTTTTATTTGGGCTACTTTAATCTAATGTCATTTTATTTTAACAGGAGGTATATAGAAAACTGGTTGTATAATTTGTACACAGTTTGCATGTATTTGCCTTTGTATACTATTCACTCTTTTACATAAATGAAATCAATATTGTTTTTGTCTTTACCAGAAAATCAGATGAATATGTTGAGCATGTTTTCCATATGCTGATGACACAACTCAATCAAGGGCATTCTGAGATCAGGTTATCAGCCTTCCTGATCTGTGATGAACTGTTCAACAGGTCTCATCGCTTTAGAGAACTTTTGCTGGCAGATTTTCAAATATTTTTGGGATTAACTGCTGGTGAGATTCTTCTTTTAATATATGTAACTGCAAAAAATTTTGTTGTATTGAATATATATTTTGTTGTATTGAACATATTTTTGAGAATTAATTATGAAACTAGTAAAAATATTTTTCTGACATTATTTTTTTTATTGTATTTATCTTAGATTTTCATTCAGAAAAAATTAAGGAGCTGACACTACATCTGAAGTGTTAGGTTTAATGGATTTTATTTTATGGATTTAAATTTTTAGAGATAAATTACAATGAGCCTCTACCTCCTCCAAAGAAAGCGGCAAAGATTCTAAAAAGTAAAACATATAAAGCTATCCAGAAATGGCATGATAAATATGCAGAGGAATACAGAAAACTAGCATTGGCATATAATTACCTAAAAAATTGCAAAAAGGTATGAAATTACATTTCATTGATCATTATGATCTTATACAGTTGGGTATTTATTTTTTTAAAATTTTAAATCTTACATATATTTTGGTGAACAGAAGTACAATAGTGATTCATAGTAGTAGATTTGTGAAGTCATTGTATTGTGTAAGAATCAAACCAAGACACAGAGGTGATTCAGAGGGGTGCAGAACTGTTTCAAACTAAACGTAAACTTTGTAAATATGTAAGGAGTATTTAATTTTGTTGCTGGTTCTTGAAAGTATTCTTTTATTTTTAATTTTATTTCACAGATTAATTTCACTGAAATACAAGCCAGAGCAGAAGCTGAAAGGCAACGCGAAGAGGCAGAACAGCAAAGGACGGAAATGGTAATGCAGCAAAAGCTTAGCAGCTGTCTCCATGAAATGACTGGTATGTCACAGAATTAATCACAAATATTTTGTAGTTGTTGCATAATATTTTGTAGTTGTTGTATAATGTGTATAAAATATTACAGGTTTAAAGCAAAATGGAAGCAAGAACACTTTGAATTATTTATTTCATAAAAAAGATAATAAGGAACATGTTAAGACTTTGCGCTTTATAATTTTTTGATGGCTTGTTTTATTTCAGAGCTTCAGCCAGAGATTAGAAACTGCTTGTCTCAACTGGACAGTTGCATGAAGCTGTTGCTTCCAACTCTAGATGACTTTGAGATAAATGCAGATGATTGCATTATACCAGATGTACCTGAGAGCTCTCAGAAAGGACCGTTAATAGATAATTATGTCAATAAAAACATGAAAGGAGAGATGTCTAAAGTGACAGATGAAAGAAATTACACTGTAAAGCAAGGTCTCTCAATGGTGAATGTTGATAAACCCCATTGTATTGACAACACTTCTGCAGAATCTGGCACTAACCACTTTTCCTCAACAGACATAATGCATTGTGATGATGCTGAGAATGGAATTTCTGAGAGAATGGAAAGTATGAACAATGATGATATAAGTCAAAGAGAAGAAGAAGAAGAAGAAGAAGATGAGGAAGAAGAAGAAGGTGAAGAAATGGAGGATGTACCCGAGTCAGATTTGATGAGACAACATGGTTTGGGTTCTATGAAGTACAACATCACTATTGACATTGAACCAGGGGTGATTAAAGAGAATGAGGACAATACTGATATTCTGAATGCTGTCAGAGACTCTTCAAAGCTCATTGCTAATAGATATTTGCCACTTGTTATTACCTGGTTAAAGGTAAATTTAATTTTGGTACGGTCTAAGCAAATATTTTAGTCATTTGTTATCTTTTATTAAACATCTATTGATAGTAAAGGCATTTATTTAAAACAAAATTAACATAACAAATAAAAATAAAGGAGTCTATAAATGAAACAGAGAGAAAAATATATTGGACATCAAAGTAATATGTTCAGTGCTAAAATTCATTTTATATACAGATACTAATTGCCCGTAACGAAAAAGTCCTATAGGATCCTATAAGATCCTTTAGGATCCTATAGGAAATTGGGCACATTTCCTATAGGATCCTATAAAATCTTATAGGATCCTATGGGACTTTTTCATAAGGGGCATTTGTAAATTTACAGATATTGACCAATAATGGTGGGCAACAAGAACACATTTCACAACTTGAGAAATTGAAACAGAATCTGGAAGCAGCACTTCAAAAGTATAAAGAAATGAAAATTCCAGAACTGCCTCCAAAGTTAGTTGTTTCTGTGACAGAAGATGATGCAGGTTAGTATTTAGATTAATATATGATAATAAACCAAATTGATTATTAGTGAATGGTGTAACAACAAATTGATTTTTTAAGAACAATTAAACTGAAGATGCTTTCTAAAGGTATATTAATTTAATTTATCATTTAAATGTCCCAAACATGTTTAAAGGGATAATAACTCTTCGTATGAGATCTATATTTCACAATAAAAACATTGTGAATAACTCATAGAAATATAATATATTCTGTTTTACCACAAAAACTGCAGTTATAGCTCAAAATTCTGATATTTGAGCTTGTTTTTAAACCACGTGACCTCCATTGATGGCTATACTCTGTTAAAATCTCTTAAGAGATTTTAACAAAAAAACAAACTTTTTAGAAAAAAACCAGGGACTAACTTTGAATGTAAAAATGGATTTATTAACCATTGGTAAGTATGGGAAAATTGTTGTTTACTCCAGGAAAATTCATTTTTTGGCCGAAACGAAGAGTTATTATCCCTTTAACTGTTAGCTTTTGTGAACGCACTATAGATGACAAGTCTCTGTCAAGTGTGTAACATAATGTTAAAATGGTTTGAATTCTCTAATATAGAAGGGGATTTTGAGACTGTCCCTGAAAAGGAAGGTTATGAAGAAGACATTCCAGAGCATCTTAAGGAGTATTCTAGTGAGTATCATAGGTTGAAGATGCTGGAGCATGTTAATCTGTCAACCGGGTTCTATATCAAGATAAAATACCAGCTTATATCCCTTTCCACTCAGATTCTCAGAATGTTTAGCAATACAAACTAATTTGTTGACATTTTATAATACCCGTAATATTTTTTTTGTATAATGATATTTCCAATATGTTTATAATTTCGTGTTATTTCTTTAAGTTAATACAACAAATTGTGTCTCAAGAGAGAGAAATTTTATCAAAAAGAAAACTAATATTTCAGGCATTGGCTGTACACCGTCCACTAGCAGCACTACCAGCAGCACTAGTAAGTCAGGAGATATATGTCACACTGAGTGGCAATCCAAGGGAGGTGCTGTTAAAGAAGAATGGGATCTAAAAGTTACAAATAAAAAGTAGGTCTGTAAAACTGCTATAAAATAAAAAAGTATTTGTAATTTTCTTTTTCTCAAAATTAGGTTTCCAAAAGTTTTGACTTATTTTGATCACACTGTAAACTTATTAAATAATAAGCTGCAGTTTTTGGTCAGAAAATATGAACACCATTTCTACTTTCTAATATGAACCTTCTCAAGCCAAGGGTATATAACGCCATTGGCTTAATGGTAATGTTTTACTTATTTTGAACATTCTCTAAGTGAACATGTGTACTTGTTTTATCTGACAAACAATATTTAATATAACAACATAAAAAGTTGTATTTGAAGTGCTATTACTGCATTGGATACATAAAGCAGACTTAAGTAAGCAGATATGTATATATGACTGATGAACCCCTGTATACTGAGGAGGATTTCCAGCTAGAAATAGGCATTAAGATGAAATACATATTTACTTGCAGATCTGAATCAGAGCATGTGGACAGCTTGTCAAACCAGGAATCATCAATATCAGGAGAAGATGCTAGGAAACAGAAATTACTTAAGAAGGCACCAGTAGTTCATTACGACATGGACCTCCAACATTGGGAGAACCCAGATGCCAAACCACCAGCTGTTGTTAGGTCAGTGTATAATACAAATCAGTTGGTGAGGGGAACAGTCTTTTGTTTAAAAGTCGAGTGAGTTCAGTAATTGATACTAATTAAAACTACTGTCAAGTATACTATGTTTTAAACATCAGTTTTCTTTTAACATTGAAATTTGAGATCATTCATGGAGGCTTATCAAAGTAAGAGATGACTAAAAATCAAAGTTATCTGGATATATATTTGGATAGGGTATTTTGCCTGAATAAGTAAGGTAAAGTTGAGATTTGAAATTTGCCACATCAATATCCCTTTTTTGGGGGATATATCTGTGTGTGTGTGTGTGTGTGTGTGTGTGTGTGTGTGTGTGTGTGTGTGTGTGTGTGTGTGTGTGTGTGTGTGTGTGTGTGTAGCCATCAGTAACTCTATCATTATGCCTTTTATTAGCTCTGTGACCTGTGTTGCAAATGGCAGATATTAATTTAATATTGTTAATGTGTTTAATGATCATTTACATAGGATTGAGTCTGGACACAGATTTTGGACTCCAAGAGAGTTAAATGAAGATTTTGTGAACAATGTAAGTTTTAAGCTTGGCTTGTGCTCATCATTAAGGGGACTGTCCATACATTGTTTGATTAGATATAGAACGCTGTCTTCTTTTTAGATACATAAATAAAACACCCTACCCAAAACTTCTTGAAAATGATTTTTTGGTAAAAAATGGATTATGTGAAATATTGTTTTCATTTAAGGAGTCACTGGAAGCTCTCAGAACTAGAACAATAGAATTTTCAGGAACATTTGAACCTGTCAAATGGAAATGCAGAGCTCCTATGCCAAGTGGCAAGTTATGTGAAAGAATGGATAGAATTAAGGTAAATCATGGTCATAACATGATAAATAGATAAATGTGCTGTTTTAGTATGGTTGTCATTTTATAATGGTAATAACCCAGGTAGCAATGGCAGGATGTGGCAGGACCATGTGTCAGCAGTTTTGCTGAAAAGATTTAAAATACTTGCAAATACCATTACTTGTAAGCAAAAACTAAAACCCTATTTTACTTGCTTTTAGTGCCCCTTTCATGGCAAGATCATTCCCAGAGATGAGCAAGGTAAACCATCAAATCCAGATGATGTGGTGAGAATAAAGGAAGAAGAGGACAAAAAGAAAGCAGGTACATGGTTTGTTTTATTAGACACAAGTGTTTTCATTTTAATTAATAGATAGTAAGACAGAAGTGAACCACAATCAAATTCACAGGGTATAAATGTTGTATAAATGATAGACTCATGATATACAAGTACATGTGTTAAACATTCCTCACTGTTTATAACAATGCACCATCAAGTTTGACTGCAGTTGTTTAGAAAACTAGATATAAAACAATTTATCATCTGCTTACAGAAGCTGTTCCAGACTGGCAAGACCCTGTCCTCCTCAGAGAACTGGAGGCAGCAACAGGTATTGATTTAACTGTGACAGCAGGCAAAAGAGGGAAAGGAAAAGGCAAGGGGAAAGGGAAGAAAAAATTTCCAAACCTTACTGATATTAAAGCTGCTGGAAATACATCTAGGAGAAGACTAGAGAAGAAAGTCCTTAACAAGTAAGTAGATTGATTTGTGAGCTATTACTACGTAACAGTAGTATTTGTGCAAATATTTCCTTGATAATGTCATATACCTTGACTAGTAGCAATAGATTTGACCTTGTATGTGCTTAGAAAATAAGATTACAGTCATCAGGTTTTTTTTTTTTTTTTGCTTTTGTGAACTTCATGAGCTACTCTGAAATGAAACTCAAATTTGTTTTCACATCACATAAATGATATGCAGTATCTTGCTAATATTAAAATTACTTTCCCACAGGTCTGCCTTAAGAAGAGTGACCAATGCATTAGACAGTTTGGATTATAAACTGGCAAAAGACAGATTTGCAAACCAGTTCAATTATGCATTAAAATGATGACAGTTTAAGAACTAAAATGATTTAATATAATTTTTACATTTCAAAAACTAACTTGGAAAAGACTTACCTATTATAGCTGTTTTATACATGCAGTTTAAAGACTTTTTTTATTAAGGGTGCAATAAGCTATAAAATGTATAATATATTTTAATGAATGAATGTTAGTGTCATTTCTGTATGAATTATCAACCTGTCATCTGTATCAAAAACATGGTAAAGTAAATTTAATTTGTTTTTTATTGTAGCACTAATAAAGAATAAGAAATCCTCATTACTTGTTATTCATTTTTTTGCTTGAAATACACTATTTTTATTGCATGAGTTAGTATTTCGTTTTGGATTTTGTTGGGCATCAATTTAGTGATTTAGTATTGTGCGTGTTAAAATTGTTTGAAAACAGTGTTAGTTCAAGTAGAAAGAGAATATTTCGAAAAAAATTATGACAGCCATTTATTGTACATAAAGAATAGTTTTTCAATTTTTATTTGAATGTTCACGGGGGAAATAAGTCTTAATGTGTTAGAGATTAAAACAGTCTGTACTTGGTACGTGACTACGGTCACGTAGGTTTGAAGAGGGCTTTCTTGTGTAATGTTGAAGTTGTAGCATCGGTGTGTACAGAAATCCTTTTTGGGACAAAATGGCATGTTGTGTGCACCACGTTGAAATCGGTGTAAAAAACGGATTATGTGCACTGAAAAAATTAACAAATTCATTTCCATTCAAGGTGATTGCAACAAGGCAGGCAGAGGAGTTCAGACAATGGGTAGTACGCACTGGATCAGCTATGTTTTTACTAACGGAACCACTAGAATCTCGTGTGTCGTCTGAATCTGATGTAAGTTGGGATAGGTGCTTGCGTAACCACGAGTATATATCAAATTGGTCTGAAAATATCAACCAAAGCACTCGGAGTATTAGCAAAAAGAAGGCAGTTGACTCAGTATTCAACATTGCGTTGGAGGTTAAGGAAGTAGAACGTATGGTAGAGCGTGTTGCGCGGTTTGGGGGCAAGGTTGTGCGACCACCAAGGCAAGTTGAAAACGAACATGGGACCGTTACATATGCAACGGTAAAATCGGTTGTAGGAAACATTAACCACACTCTAATAAACTCCTCAGAATATTCAGGTGTATTTTTACCAGGCTTTAAATCAGAGAGTGAAAACGTCTCTGTTGACATGCAAAGCAATCACATGTTGTCTCACTTCGATCATGTTACATATGCTTGCCCAATGGGGGTGTCCAATCAAGTGTTGAAATGGTATGAAGATTGTTTTGGCATGGAGCGTTTTCTCATAAATAGGTAAGATCTTTACCAATCACTTTAATTCACTTTGCATGTATGTTTACAGTGATCAGTACTCCTATTTGTTATTTCATAATCACTGTTGTGACTTTTACAAAAGTTAATTAGAATATCTTCAATTGCCAACACTGCTCTGGGCCTGAACCTCAGTTTTTTCCCCACTATCTTTCATTTTCATCTGCTCAGACATGCTGAAACTGATAGTCCGATCAGTCATGACCTGGAACATTTGTCTGGACCAGTAAAAAATTGGACTTGTCCGATCCAAAGGATCGACAAGAGTTTGTAAGAGCCACAATTTTGAATTTACAGTCATCGTTCGCCATACTTTACTATTAAAATTATATAAAACCCAAAGTGTTTTTTTCCTTCCATTTCAAACTTTCACATTCACAAACAAAGTAAGCTACCTAATGGTACTGGTAGTATATGTCTCAAATGAATAGAGTAATTTTCTGTCCAACAAAAATCCATTCGGTCCAACAAATTTTTCATTACTGCCAGTCCAAATGTCCGGCCATTCTTTTAAGAACTTTTAAAAAAGTTTTCAGCATGTCTGCCTGCTGAAAGTGAAAATTACCACTGGTTGCAATATGTTTTCACAATACACATGCATGCTCTCTGCTCTAAGTAAAACTATAAAATATGAATAAGTATGCTAAAGACAAAAAAATGTAATACAATTGTAATAACTCAAGAAAACCACATATAAGTACTAGTAGATATTCAAATGACAATGTACATTTACTTTTGATGAAGTTGAGTCCATTTATCCTTCTAGTGATGAAGACAGATCTGAAGGGTTTCTTGTAGAAGGAAACGATGTTGGAATGAGGCTTATGGCAATGGAATACTGGAAATGTGCAGAGACTGGCGTCTCCTATCCTTGTGCCAAAGTTAATAGTCTAAAGATAGTTGTTGCCGAGCCACTGCCTGGACAAGGTATTAAGATATAGGCTAATCTTTGGCTTGATAAATCGTATGATGTGGTCCATTTGAAGAACATCTGGATATGTTGATATTTATAGTATAATGTTAACAAAACTTTAATTTTTACTAAACCAGCTAATGTTTTTTGGAATTTTTTATTTGCCCTGCTTCAACAGTTATTTTGTTTTCAGCATTTGTATTGAGTTATAATAAATTTATGCTTCACAGATGCTTGAAATGATAAGATTACTTCAATTTATTGCTCTGTAGTAGCTTTAAAAGACATGCAGATAACTTGAAGTAGTGCTAAGGAATTGGCTTTACATAGAAAACACCTGTATTAAGACACATCATATATATTTATATGTACTAGGATTGCACCATTTTTTTTATTTGGTCCCATTGCATAGTTTTATATGCAAACATAAAAATGTGAAAATAAACAAATTTATGTGTAAGGGGTATACTGTTCAAAACACATTTAGCATGCTTGGGGGCGGGGGGAATTTTTCAGTCCTGGCTTATCATCCTTGAAGAAATTAAAAGTCATTGTTTTAGTATAATTATTATTATGGGTTGTTTAATTTTTTATTTGTATGGCCGTATCTGCCTCTTGTAGAATATAAGATACTAAAACTACAAAATATTTTCAAAATTTTAGGTCCAAATCAGGTAGAGACTTTCCTTGAGCAGCATGATGGTCCAGGTGTGCAGCATATTGGTCTTCACACAGGCGATATAATCTCTTCCTCTCAGTTACTCAGAGACAGGGGTGTGGTCTTTCTCAAACCACCACCAGCATATTATTCTAAGGTAAAGCGAGAAAGGGTGAACTAGCAGTGCTTCAACTAACAAAAATGTTTCGGTTGATCGTTTTCTTCTTCTCTTCTTTTAATTAATATTGGTGAGTTGAAGTAGAGTATATGTTCATTTTTTAAAATCCCAAGTCCGTTATATAAGATTTCATTTGAAGCAGACTTATTCATAATAGAACTTTCATTTTTTTTTAAGCTTGGAAAATTAGCAGAGATAGAAAAGCTTGGCATGGATGCAAAGAGGTTACAGGAGTGTGGGGTGTTGGTAGATGATGAAGCTGATGCTGGGCAGCATGTAGAGAACTGTAACAGGATGGGGGTCAGGTAAGCATTGATTCAGACAAACACATTTTATAACATGCTGGTGATGTGACAAAGTTGAAAATAAAGTCATGTTGTAAAACATTTGAAATGTTTAGTCATAAAACTAGCATTCTTTAATAAGCATTATCCGATGATTTTTCTCATGTGGAATGTAATAAATTGTGAATAATATTATATGTCTGATGAAGAATGCATTTATTTGACATTTGTATGCAGGTACTTGTTGCAAATGTTCACAAGACCAATATTCAAGGAAGACACTTTCTTCATAGAAATCATTCAACGTTGTGGAGCTACTGGGTTTGGTGCAGGCAACATACGAGCTCTTTGGCGATCTGTTCAAGCTTTCTTAGATGAAAAGACTCATGTAACAGCTCAAAAGGAAGAAATCTCATCAACCGAACAAAAAAGTTGATACTTATTAACATATTTGGTAGTTTTTCGATAAAATAATAGTATTTAACATGTTTGCTGTACACCTCAACACTGTATCTAAATGCTGAAGTGTGAAATAAACAACTTACGGGTGCTCCTGGACATCTAGCAGTTTGCATATATATATATGTGATAAGGACAAAGAGATTTTCAAATGTTTTAAATTATTTATTGTAGGAATGAAAGCTTTACACTTATTTGTTAATTATTTAAATGTCAAACGTCAGAGTTGAATTTTTTTTACAATTACACATCACAAAGCATTTTCAGCAGACAAAAAAATGAGCCACTGCAAATAATGTTAACTGAGAATAACACCAATATCTACACAGACAGTACATAACACATTTCTGAAATGTACCACAGGAAAAGCTAGAAATTTTTCGTTTTGTGCATTCCTCAGTATTTAAAAAAATTAACTATGAAAACATTTAACACCATGCTGCTGCTTACCTGATGTCATAAGCACCAATTACATACTAGCATTGGGGACCAGCCCATGTTCAGTTATTACTACTATAGTGTGCATTCATAAATAAAGAAAATGTTGCTATGTTGAACTGCGTCTCAGTATAAGTACATCTACTCTATGCTTAAAAATACAATTTATAATGTGTAAAATAATATCTAAAATTAATGTAAGATTTGGTTTCAGATCAATTTCTTCAAATTGATAGGTGGTACAGCATAAGTATCTACAGGTTTTGTCTATAATGGGACAACAGTAAAAAAAAATATTGAATTTAAAAATACAAAATTAATTCTTTCAAAATGCCATCAGTTCCACCTTTGTAAGTATTCTTCTTTCCCCTTTTACTGGAACTTCTACTGCAGAAAACTCCGTTCTTTTCATAAAACTAATATCCAGCACCTTTAGACAAATTTTAACACGCTATTAAAATCTCTTTAATCTATCAAATTTGTCAGTGACCTATTTGAATTTCGCATGCATTTTTTTATTTACTAAACATGAAAATTATTTAACTGTTAAAAACTAACTTTTGCACATAGTCATGGTTTTGCTCCATTTATTATCAACTTAACATAAAGTGTAGCATTAAACAAAAAACATCACAGGCCCCCACCCCCCATTTTACTTCCCTTAAATAAATCAGCACTGTGCTACTGAATCTGGTCTTTTTCTAGGTTTTGGTGGAATGAATGGTTTTGCTACACCTGACTTACTGCGCTGGACTGGCTTTGCAGGCCCACTTCCCTCTGAATTTTCCTGACTCAGTTTGGCTATCCTGTCTTTTACACTCACTCCCCGTGATACCTCAGGCTCTCTAGCTGAAACAGGCCGGGGTTTGAATTCAGTCAATGTTTGTGGTTGAGACCTAAATTGTACAGAAGCAGGCCTGGCTCTGGGTTGAAACATGGGTTTAACAGACCTGCTGGGTTTCTCAGGAGCTTTTGAACGGCCATTCAGTGGAGCCTCCTCATCACCTGGTATTACTTCATAGATATTTTCTCCAGTGGACTGATCTGTCCAAGGTTTGGGTGGTGGCTCATACAAAGGATCGCTGTCTAAGTCTGTGTTACTATTGTTATTGTTACTATTGTCAAACTTAAATTTCTGCTTCATGGCTGATACTATGCCCACTTGTGGTTCTGAAGGTGACTCTGAAGCATCTGTGTCTGCTATGGGTGACAAGGGTGCTGGTGGGGCTGGTCTTAGGGGTACTGGCTTCGACTGAGCTTGAGGGAGACTTGGTGGTTTAAGAGGTTGCTGTTGTCTTGTTGGTGGTTTCAGTGGTTTGGTGGGGAGCTGGTTAGGTCTGGTTAACTGACTAGGTCTGTTTGGTGGTGGCTGGAACTTGACCTGGTGGAACACTAGGGCGTGGTGGAGGTTGATTTTGATTAGCACTGGACTGATCACTGTTTTCTGACCATGGTTTGGGTGGTCTTGCAGGCTTTCCTCCAGTTACATACCCACTGTCTTCATCACTGTTTTCAGAATCTGGCAAGTTGGCATAGACAGTTGGTCTCACTATTACTCTTGGCTTCTCAATGAATTTAGCATCTTTAAATGATGGTGTTCTGTTAGTTGTGCTCTGAAGTACTGGGTTGGAAATTGGCATCTTTGCAGATCCAGTGCTAGGTTGCCTGTTAACTGGGTCTTTAGGGACAGGTGCAGGTGGTGGTGGAGGTCTCTCTTGAACACTTTGAGCCTCTACTGCAGCAATACTAGGTAGGGGTCGAGGCTTGCTGGGAGATTTAACAGACGATTCAGATCTTCTTGAGGATTTAGGTGGGGCTGCATCCCTATTGAGTAAAATAATGATTTCATTGTTAACATAATTTATCAAAGATTTCTTTTAGTAAAAGATGATAGCATATAAAAATTAGTGAAAAATAAATATTTACTCATTTGAAAAAGAACCAAACGTTATTGACTTTCTTTTCTAGTTCTCAAACCATCCTAAGCTGTATTAAATTCCTGGCATTTAAATCTACCTAGTCTAATTATCTAGAGCTTGAATGTTCTGATACAATTAAATTTCATTTCACTTTCATAGGACAATACAAATGAGAGAAAATTACACATTTGCAGTAAGATTTTTAAAAACCTCCTTACTACTAGTTTTAGAAGCATATTGCAAACAATTCTTACTTATATTTGTATGCAGCAGAAGCCTTCTGTCCCCACCAAACTTTGAGTTGCTCTCTGTATCGATAGGCGAAAAATCCACCAATCACAAGGAGAGGAACAATAAGCAGGAAGAAAATCAGGAGTCCTATCATTAACGAATTGTCACCTGAAACAAACAGGTAAAAATTCCATAGGGTAAAAATCATAAAAGAAATGGAGTTTTCAAAATCAACAAGAATGTATACATCCTTCAGTGCCACTTATCCAATAACAGAGAAAAAAACCCATACTGATAAACAAAAACATAATATAATTGGAAACCCAGTAGCCTACATTGTTCATTGCAAAGCAGAAATTAAGGCATTTACATGCAGTGACCAGCAATTCCATATTATAAAGCAAAGCATTTGGTTATAATGTCACATTAGATGATATCCAAGTTACCTTGAGGTGGGATTTCTGTGGGTCTTATAGCAGTGTCAGAACTTTCAGTTGATTGTGCAACAGTGGAAGTAACAATGCTGTCTGTTTTATAAGTAACATTAAAAGATGTAACTGATACAGTAGAGGTAACTGACATTGAAGAAGTATCTAAAACAAAACATGCAAAAATAAAGGGTTATCACCTATAAGTATACACTAAAATAAAACAAGCACACATTTAGAAATCAGAATACAAAAGCATTAAGACAGTTAGTATAGCAGATGTGCTAGATCTGAAGACCATGAATCAAAGTGGAATTTGGCAATGCCATGCCAGCTGCAATGTATACAGATATCATGTAGACAAGTAAGCAGTGTCAACACAAAAAGTATCTAGTAAATGACTAAGCCAGAACTACAAAGAATCAATTTTTTATTTACAAGAACTAAAATGGGCAATTTTACTTTCTATAGCTAAACAGAACTAACCTAGTTCTAAAGTCTTAATCTCTAGTCTAATTGAAGTTAGTTTGATTGTATGCCCTAAACGGCATTTGAATATCTAATGATTTCCCATCACTGCCATTAGAGTACTATTTATGGGCTGCATATTTATTAACTACTGCCAAATGCTGCTGGTTCATGTATACCATTACATTTACACACATGTATACATTTACTAACTGTGTACACATGGATATGTAGCAGAGCTTACCTTTGTTGCTAGAGGCCGGTCCACTGTCTACACTTCCCCCATACCCTGGTGTGTTACATGACGGGGGAGCCAAGCCAACTTCACAGTGACAATTATTATTGCTGTTACATATCTAGAACAAAAACATCGAAAAATATGATGTGTCTATGTTTAAAAATTATATTGTTCATATAGATTTTTAAAACACTTTGTCTTGTATAACATCAATAGAATGAAGAGCTTTGTGTTGTTACTAAGTTGTGTCATATAACTTACCCCGTTCTGATTACAATCCTCTGGACATGGAGCCACTCCAAGTTGGTCAAAAGACATACAGGTTTGGTTCACACATAGCTGAAATATCACGTGCAAATATGCAGTTTGATAAAAACAAATACATGATGATGATGATGATGATACAACACCCAAACAACAAGACATCTGCATGCAACTAAGATGCAATTTGTAAACTGTGCACATTTCGAGTTCATCATTTTGCAATCATACTATTAAACGTGTTTTTTTTCCACAAAGTACCAAGCTTCAAAAACCTTTTAATATGAAATATACTGGAATCTTCTAAACTGTGGAGCAGAAAGTATGTCTTTTCATGACCCTTCTACTCACCAAAAAGACTGAGATATAAATTATATGAGACAACATCACATATTTATCACGATAAAACTACTTTGCTTACTTTATCTTCACCACACTTGGCACCATCTGGTGTCATGCCAGGATCAAGATCATTTAATCCAACATCCAAAATGGCAGATTTGCATTTTATTCTCACACCATTCACATCTAGAGTTGTATATGGCAGCAGTCTGGACAGGGCCTCTCTCCAAAACATAAGTTTTTCATTCTGGTGTTGACAGTGGAGCATCCCACACATAGTATCTCTGAAATAACAAGTGAATGAAAATGACAAAAGTTAACATAATCATAACACTCCGATTTTCATTTCTAATCCAATTTTTCAAAAACATNATAAAAAGAAATAAGATCATAAGACACTGCTTGACTATTAGATCTTTTTGAAGTTACCACATCAAGCATTTGCCTTAAACAGTAGTTTTTCTTAGTGCTTTGGGAACCAAAGAAATATAACAGTTTTCATTATTTTCAGTGAAAAATGAAACTTAAAAAGTTTTATAAAACAATATTCTAACTCTTGACCTGGTAACAAAGGGGTATCGTTTATGTCAAAAATCCACTTACAGTAACAGATTCTCTCTAAAATGCATGAGTTCACAATGACAATTTGTGTCATTTCAGTAATACTACACTACAGAACACCTGAATTTGTAACAAACAATATAACAAAAGCAAAATGTGTACACAGTGAAATAACAAGGAAAACCAACTAGTGTGAAAGAAAACTTCCTACCCTAACAACACCCCCTGAATACCGGAAGGAACACATAGGAGTCTGAGATGCTTTCCCCAGAATTCTGTTTGCAAATACACCACCTCTGAAATAAGGTACAAACAAAAACAGACACAATGAGTGCACACCTAAAAAGCAGCTAGTGCTATGTGCATTGAGCTCTGCACAGATTAAAGTATGGCCAATTTTGGCAGTTCAGCAATTTATTAACATGTGCAATTGATTCACTATTCCTGAAATCATAATGAAGAGAAATTTTGTAAAATGTGAAGTACATGATATATATATATGAATCTGCAACCCAACCATAAACCATACACAGAGGCCAACTTCTCTTCATAAGCCTCTGTGAATCAATCTTCCATGATCATTTATATACCCATACTGCCTGCCTATCTATTAGTAACTTTGCATTCTGTGTCTTTCAGCCCAGTTACCATACCAGCAAGTCAATTGCAAGCAGCTAAAGCCATATTTCTCGCAGAATTATCTCGAGTTGTCCTCGTGCATCCCAAGCAGTTGTGTTCACCAATTCTACTACCTAAAGACCAGGACAACATAAAAGACCTGCTCTTCCTGTACAAACCTACCGTATTAACACCGCCAGAGTAGCGGTATGTGCATATGGGACGCTTGAGAGCTTTACCCACAATGCCATCTTTAAATGATTGACCACTGAAAATGGCATAATGAACAAAACAGAGTAAGACAGAGGGCTGGATACATTGCAATAACTTATTAAGAATATTAATCTTGTCTTACATCTTTTTTCCATAACCTGGAATTTAAATCCTGTCAAACCATATTCCTTTGTTTTTGTCAGCTAAACAAATGCTAAAAAGACATTTCTACTAGATTTCAACATTTTACTCTTCAGAAAATTCTTCAATTGTTTTATATATATATACTGGTATTGTGTTTGGTCAGTCTTTTTGAACTTACGTGATAAGTTGGCCGTTATCATTGGGAAAGTGGGGGTTGAGAAATGTTTTTCTATAGGAGAGAAAGTTGTTGAGGGTTACATCAGCATCCTGATCTACTATAATCTTATCCCCACTGTCCCACACCTCCACTCCTACCAATGCCACATAGATGTCTAGCTCATTGTATAACTGAAAACACATTGCAATACATTAATGAGAAATATTAGCACCATGTGTGAGATGTTTGACCACTACATAGTTAGAAAGGCAACAGCATCATCAACTGGTTAGCAAATCTTATGGTAGATGTACCTCAAATGGTATTACATACAATTTGATACAAAAACAAAAATTATTTTCCAAATATTATGTTTTCCCACTAATTGTAACTTATAATCTAAATTACTTTAAATATCAAATAGAACAGTTACAGGATTTTTACTTACAGCACTGACAATGTTGCCAATTTCTTTACTCCTCTGGATTACTTTTGCAACATTTTTTCCATGCATGTCAAACTAAAATAAACCAATAAATTTAGAAAGGAAAAGGGTAATAAGACAAAAAAGTTTTGTGATAACAATACATTATCTGAACAGAGACATCCAATAGAAATGTGCCGACATGTAATAGCTACTTAATCTCAAAGACAGAGGGAAAAGATAAAAGAGAAATATAGTAGTTATCTGAGTACGAAGGAGATATTTTCAAATTAGTAAGGTGGGGGGCAGTTGTACCTGTCTTGGACTCAGTGTGGATTGAATAATGATCTTTGATTGATTACAGAGACAGAGGTAAGTAGTCCATTATACTTCTGAATACCAATTTACTGACCTGTCTGTGATCACTAACTAAGAATAATTCCACGTATCTGGTCTTTTTACCACTATTATAGGGACCCCTGATGGCTCTGCGAAGCTGGAGAAAACAGTACAGTATAGAATATCACTTTAAAGACATATTCAGATAATTTCTAAAATCTTAAACCTAATCACAATAAAAAATAAAATAAAAAACTTCTGGAAGTTAAGAAAAAGAAGAATGATACAGCAAAAAATAAAAACAAATCTACTGAAAATGTTAATAGGCAAGAATACAAAAGGTAATGCAGACATGGTAATGAAATACATATCCCACATTGTATATAGAAAATATACCCATGTTAGATGACCCCTAGATTACTCAAATAATCTGATCTTATCTCAATCTCTTATGAATATCAGCTTTCTTAAACAAATTATCATGATCAATTTGCTCACTGTTTGTAATTTCATGTGGCTATATATAGCATGTAAAACCCCTATGGCATGAAGACATGCAACCAATGGCTTAAAGCTTACCCTGTGTAAGTGTTTAGAGTTAAGTGAACGGTGGTAAAAAGAAGGAAAATCATGGGCATGGTCACCAGTACCTTAAAAAGAGTTAAAAATAGTTTAACAAATACAATATTAAGCATTCATTTGAGTGAAAGTGAGCCCTATATTGTCTTCCAAAGTAAAGCACAAAGCCTTATTCATAGTGCGCTTTAATGACTTTTTAGAAGTTCTCATTCAAGGTGTCCACTTTTTAAAAATCATTTTCTCTTCAAATTTACATATTTTTTCTCCCCAATATACCCTGAGCCACATCTAGTTTACTTACCACATCTCAGATGCTGCTCATGTCTATCTGATGCTCTAAATACATGATGATGAAAGCCTGTAGAACCAGCTACTGGCTGAATATAATACTGCTCTGTACCATCTTGAAATAACCCACTGGAAAGGGTGAACATATGACACTTTTTCAGTTTTTTGTACTTTTGCCACCATATACAAGCAGATTAAGAGATCTCTTTACCACCAGGTTATAAAATGAAATGCGTTTTTTTTTTTTTTTTAACAAGTGTCCTGTGCTTTACCAACTTAAACTTATCACAAAATTCTGGAAGAGTGAATCACTGAAAAAAACTTGCTACAAACCACATCATATATTCTAACTACATAATAGTACCAAAACATGAAAGTCACGGAAGCATGAAATTGTTTATATCTAATTTTCAGACAAACATGTTAATGGGATGAATAAGGAACAAACATCTAAATAAGACTGCTACAAAGCTATTTTACAATTACTGGCCCTAATACAAGTTCACAAAAAAATCCATTCTTATCAATAAATAATGATTTTCCCAGTATAGATGTACATATGGATCTGTGTGCAGCATTATGAAATTAACGAAACATGTTTCAAGATAAGGAGGACATGGCCTGTGAAGGCAGCATTTTCCTGCTGCTTCTTAGCATTATCAACAAATTTTTTAAGTTTCTAGAGACCTTTTGCATGTAATATTACTTGTGAGGCAGTGGCCATCCTTGCTGGCCACACTGTCAAAAACATTGAGGATTTTTTTACAAATGAATAGACAAATAAGATTTCAAGCTCTATCAATAATCCATGGACTAGTAAAACATTTAAAATGCTAGAAAGGATCCTATAGCTAGACGTATAGAACTTTGACATGATCACATCATCATATCATATAAAAAGTCAGAAACTATCTTTTTAAGTTTAATTTCATGCTGTTCTAAGGCGAAAGGCCGCTTTTCTCTGGTTATCCATCAACTGGTTACATTCATACACTACACCTTTTTCGCATTAGTGTATGAAGAGAAGAATGCTAGGAAATAGTTAAAGTCAATTTAAAAAGATTTATTCAAAATTAAAATCTTAATGAAAATCAATAATATATTACCAAAACTGACCGGAGTTGTTGATTATATAGTCAACAGCAGAGAAAACACATCACATCATGTTATTTAACCAATAAACCTTTATTTCCTCAACCACAAAATGACCCTTACCTTAACCCATCACAGGTACTTAGTGCTATTAGAGATTCCTCTTCATGTCTGATCTTCCCATGATAAAAACAGTGATGGTTTTTCTGAAAGGAAACAAATATGGAACATTTATTGGTTGTTTATTAAATAAATTAAGTATGTTCTCATGTATGTTATTTTTCAATTAGTACAATAGACATCTGATACTTAGTATAATTTGTATCAGATAAAATGTGGAATCATTCTTAACAATATGAGAATCAATCTGATATGTTTGTTTTTGAAAGGCACATGATACCACTAAGTCTTTTAAAACAAAAGTATCATTGTTTTTTCTTCAGTGCAAACTGCTGTATAACTATTTGTAAAATTAAACTAAACAAAGCCATATGTAACAGGCGTTTCCAAGTATATCTCACTGACTGCAGCAAAACACCAATATTAAGACCAGTTCACACATTGACCAATATGGACTGGAAAAAACTGACATCACAGATTCTGCTAAACAATCTGGTTGTCTAATCACATCAATTAGTCTCTATCAAGTCTAAGTTTGTACTAGTGTGAACATTCCTGTAGAGTAATTAATAACTGTGAACAGTAATAGCACCTGTAGCAAATTTCTAGGGCAAGAACAGAGCATTGTTCAAAGGTGACTAACCCACATATTTCTCACTGTTAACTGACTTTGTTTGAAGTAACCACCCCTCGATTTCCACCTTTATTCATTAAGCTTTCTGACACTTAACACCCTTGTTCTCAGACCACACGTCTGCTGGAACTGTTCTTACTGCCAGACTGCAAAAACCACAAGATCCAGTTATCCAAATTCCTAACAAGTTACTCAACAGAATCAAGGTGCCAAATTTGACTTGTTGATCAGTTTCGTTATCACAATGGCCTTTTTTGTCTCACCTAATCAAGTAACAGTTCCATGATACTACACTGCTAGCTGCCTGTTTAAACAGAGAGGTTGCAACCTGGTTGAACATGAAAAACTGGATCAATATGTAGTTCACTTTCCCAGCCAAAGCATCACTGTCTGCCATGCACATCTACAATGTCATTTATTGGTGCAAACAGCTCTTCCAGAATGTAGACCCTATTCTCACTGACAAATCACCACACCCATTGGTGACTTGTTGTCTAACCTAGCAACTGTCTAGCCACAAGAACAGCAAACCTGATACCTTGAACAGTCACTTCAGTGCAAAGACACCTTTCTAACTAATTTTCATTGTAGTCTGTGATTCCAATTCAGCTAATTACAGTGTATCCTATCAATTTGTTGGTGCAAACCTTAATACTGTTGCACAAGCTACAGTGTATACAAACACTTAATATGTTTTAATTTAACTTTTAATCATAATTATTTATGATACATGTCCTTCCATTGCAAATCCATTACTTATATATCTATAATAGACTACAAGCACACGGCAATCTTAGGAGAAAACCCTATCATATTGAGAATTCTTGGTACATCACATAGTGGAAGAAATGCACCTCTCCATGGGCAATAGGAAGGGATGAACAATTTATCTTTTTGACAGCAAAAATGCCACTCTAAATCTGTTTGATCTAGGTTCTATGCCAGTAATGAAGCACACAGATATTGCAATAAATGGGTCCACTTTTTCAGAAAAAGACCTCCCCTCCCCCCCTCATTAAAATTTTCTGGTTATGTGTCTTCCCATTCTTATGCCTTGCATATGGTAAAGGCAATAAAAACATCAAAATGTATAAATGCAAGTACACTGGCCATTTTACAATTACCAATCAAGCTATCTTAAGAAATACAGCAGGAACACTTCTCCAAGAGGTAAAAGAGTGCATAACCATTTAATCTCCATTTCATGATCCACAGACTGATTCCATAACTATAGCACTGAACATTAATTTTATAAATGACTTTAAAGGCATCAAATCTGTGTGGTTATATAACAAATGAAAGATGGACACCTTCATTTAAAGGATGATGCACATGTGCTGCTGGAAAGAATTCTATTACTTTCATCACAAGAAGCAGGCTACTTATTTTAATATGCCTCCAGAGTTCAACACACTCAAGTTGTGTCCCATACATATCTGACGTTATTGTCTTAGCTACATCTGAAGTCCTCATCACATTGCAGATTGCCTTAGAAAAATTTACTGAAAATTCACGCAATACTTACATGATCTTTGTATCTTCTTACTATTGGTTTTCCATTTGTTGTATGTTTTTCTATAAACTTATCTCCAAATAAATTTCTGAAAAACAGACAAAAAACATACAATGTTATGAAAAGTTTATTACATAACAAATAAACTAAGAAAATAAAGGATATTGTTGTTGGTCAGTTTCCCAGGAAATTGAAGCCAGGCTTGGTCAAGAGGTCAGACGTGGGCAATACCACTTTTTTATATCTGTCAGAAGATGATTAATAAGTCTGTATAGCTGCCAATGATATTTTGTTGAAATGATAGCAATTAAGTAATAAATGCCAGCAGCAATACATTGGAATCATATCATCCCTTCTACACAATCTTTCCACCCGGTGGTTTAATATTTCTGAACTAGCAATGGGAGTGGTTAGAAGATGCACTGTAGGTCTACGTATGCAATGTTGAATATTGAAAAGAATGCCTGTTTTAGTTACATGGCTGCAGAGACACTACTGTGCTGTGTGACTTGTCATTATATTTGACAAGCTAATGGTGGACTGTGAACATGACCATCTGCATGCTTATAAACATTAATTAATAGATTCATGGAATCAGAATGTTTTTGGCCTTGATTCAACAGTATCTTGGTTATGAAAATCAATAACACCAAGAATATAAATGCATTTTATTCACAAATTATGAGACAATATGTAAAACTATTAATCTGCTACCAAGACCTTTGTAATGAATTCTTTATAATACTTACTTATTAAGTTTAAGGTCTAGTGTAAATGTTTTATTAAATGCTTCTACTACTACTTCTACTTCATCCAGATGCTGATTCTGAAAAATAAAATGTTAAATTTTAACTTCCATGAAAACAATTTCAATCAAATAACAAAATTTTCACGTGTGTTCTTGTACAGTTGAGTAATTGTTAAATAATGAAATTAGCATTGGCACCCATTTCCTCAGGATTATCCCCAATATAGATCCCAGTCTGGCACAAATGTATCAACAGGCTACAAGTAATAGAGGCCACCATGTAGCAACTGTCAAACCACATTAACTGAAAATTTCAAGGGCCTGCTCATTTCACAGGATGGTGATCTGATATCTTGGTAATGAGGTGTAGGACACACAAGCTATCTTGAAACAGTGTTCTTTTAATTTAGCTCTGAGACACTTCCCGCTGGCAGCCATGTTCATGGTAACCAACCTCTCAGACTGACAACATGGGTTCATCTTCACCTTTGGCCAATGAAATTAGGAAATAAATAGCTCTGGTGTTGGTGGCCGGATACAATACCCTGATAACACAGATCCCCCAGAGGGACTGGTCAGTTTACGGACTAGAAACACAATAGGGAACATATGGAAGCAATGTATACAGACACATCCACTTCCAGGGTTCTCTTGCAATCTTCTAGTACATTTATCACTGAAGTGTAAGCATTTTCCCCCTGACCTACCCTTAACCCAGCAGATGCTTCTGATGTTTGACAAACTGACCAATGCAATCCACCTTCTCAAGTTCTGCACAGGTGGCACTGTATACAGTCTTTTACACACAAATCATTACTTACAACTAGTGGTATTAAGAGGGTGTTGAAAGGACATAATGCTCTAAAAAAGTGTGACAGATATTCAAACATACTTAAAATCATTAACTAAGGGAAGTGGATTCGCTTTTTTCATCCTACATTCCAATACAAGGACAAGAAGAAGACAATTGCCTTTCTTGATTATTCCTTTTGTTTGATAAATAATAATACAATTTGGGAAATGTTTAATAAGAGATGAAATAAAAACACTGACACAATCAGTCATATACATGTTTTATCAAACAAGTGCTACTCCATCAAATAGCACATTCATTTTATATCTAACAAAATATTTTCAATCATAAGTAAGGGGCTAAATTGAAATATTTTATCCAATTATCCAGTTTCAGAGAAGGCATGAATAATTATTCAGTTGAACAGCCTATCTTTTCCCAGATGGCATGTCATGTGACTCCTAGTTAATTAAACCTGATTAATTCATAAAAAAGCATTAGTGTATGAGTCATTTCCAGGAAAAAATTCATAAACAATACCAAGTCAGAGATAATTTTCCACATGTCAGACTTCTACATTACTTGATTGTTTTCACCACCTGCTGAAGCAGATGAGTAAATAGTCTTGACTACAGGTATCTGTAATTATTAATTTCAAGCAGCTCTCCCAATACCGCTCAGGCTACAAATTCAGCTGAGAGCTGCCCAGAAATGNGATTCAACAGTATCTTGGTTATGAAAATCAATAACACCAAGAATATAAATGCATTTTATTCACAAATTATGAGACAATATGTAAAACTATTAATCTGCTACCAAGACCTTTGTAATGAATTCTTTATAATACTTACTTATTAAGTTTAAGGTCTAGTGTAAATGTTTTATTAAATGCTTCTACTACTACTTCTACTTCATCCAGATGCTGATTCTGAAAAATAAAATGTTAAATTTTAACTTCCATGAAAACAATTTCAATCAAATAACAAAATTTTCACGTGTGTTCTTGTACAGTTGAGTAATTGTTAAATAATGAAATTAGCATTGGCACCCATTTCCTCAGGATTATCCCCAATATAGATCCCAGTCTGGCACAAATGTATCAACAGGCTACAAGTAATAGAGGCCACCATGTAGCAACTGTCAAACCACATTAACTGAAAATTTCAAGGGCCTGCTCATTTCACAGGATGGTGATCTGATATCTTGGTAATGAGGTGTAGGACACACAAGCTATCTTGAAACAGTGTTCTTTTAATTTAGCTCTGAGACACTTCCCGCTGGCAGCCATGTTCATGGTAACCAACCTCTCAGACTGACAACATGGGTTCATCTTCACCTTTGGCCAATGAAATTAGGAAATAAATAGCTCTGGTGTTGGTGGCCGGATACAATACCCTGATAACACAGATCCCCCAGAGGGACTGGTCAGTTTACGGACTAGAAACACAATAGGGAACATATGGAAGCAATGTATACAGACACATCCACTTCCAGGGTTCTCTTGCAATCTTCTAGTACATTTATCACTGAAGTGTAAGCATTTTCCCCCTGACCTACCCTTAACCCAGCAGATGCTTCTGATGTTTGACAAACTGACCAATGCAATCCACCTTCTCAAGTTCTGCACAGGTGGCACTGTATACAGTCTTTTACACACAAATCATTACTTACAACTAGTGGTATTAAGAGGGTGTTGAAAGGACATAATGCTCTAAAAAAGTGTGACAGATATTCAAACATACTTAAAATCATTAACTAAGGGAAGTGGATTCGCTTTTTTCATCCTACATTCCAATACAAGGACAAGAAGAAGACAATTGCCTTTCTTGATTATTCCTTTTGTTTGATAAATAATAATACAATTTGGGAAATGTTTAATAAGAGATGAAATAAAAACACTGACACAATCAGTCATATACATGTTTTATCAAACAAGTGCTACTCCATCAAATAGCACATTCATTTTATATCTAACAAAATATTTTCAATCATAAGTAAGGGGCTAAATTGAAATATTTTATCCAATTATCCAGTTTCAGAGAAGGCATGAATAATTATTCAGTTGAACAGCCTATCTTTTCCCAGATGGCATGTCATGTGACTCCTAGTTAATTAAACCTGATTAATTCATAAAAAAGCATTAGTGTATGAGTCATTTCCAGGAAAAAATTCATAAACAATACCAAGTCAGAGATAATTTTCCACATGTCAGACTTCTACATTACTTGATTGTTTTCACCACCTGCTGAAGCAGATGAGTAAATAGTCTTGACTACAGGTATCTGTAATTATTAATTTCAAGCAGCTCTCCCAATACCGCTCAGGCTACAAATTCAGCTGAGAGCTGCCCAGAAATGAAAGGTTGAACAAAGATATTTTTCATCAAAATAACATTGATTTTTGGTAAATTGAGGTCATACATCAGTTTATGGATAATCCCTCAAGTGAATGACTTTCAGGATAATTCTAAAAGTTACAACAAAGCAGCCATGGAAGGTTGAAATTGCTGGGACAAGTAGGCAACCTAACATTAAGTGCAGCTAACAGCTTCCTCCAAATAATAAACATTTGTAAGGCAAGGCATGAAACCTGCTGTCCAAGGTAAGACATGCCCAGTGAGTGATGTCTTATCTTACAATTATTTTTAGATCAACACCATTAGTCAGGCTGGGCAAACCCAATGAGTTAATGAGAAAACTTATAATTTGAAAACAAAAGCAACTAGATACAATATAAACAATTATTATATCTTAAGCAAACGAAATTGGAATTAGTTCGTCTTTTGATTTCCTTTCTATAATGTGTCCTATTTCATTCGTTTTGAATCAGATATCTGGGATATAAGGTCAGCTGA